TTTATTTATTTTATTTATATCCCGCCTGTTGTCTTTTAAGTTGTAAACTGCCTCCAAGTATAAATATTTTAAATAAATACATTCTTAGATTAATTTTTATCTTACCACACTGTTTTAATATTTTGCACATATACCTCCTGTCCATTATACTGAAAGTTTAATACAATTTTATCACCGAAGGAATGGTATTGAGATCAAGTCTGGTGAGTAGTGTTACCATGCATTTCAGCTGTGCTTAGTATCCAGTGATAGGTAACTACTCTGATCAATAGAAAAGCCAATGGCTTTGGATTAGAAATGGGCACAAATCAGAAAAATGGTGACTCATTTTGATTTCTAATTCACCAAAGTCAACGAATCTCAAATTATAATTTTTTTCCTGACAGATCTGTCAATTTGCATTTTACTTTAAAACTCTATAACATGCCCACACACAGCACCTAGAGACACCAATTTCGCAAGGAAGCAGGCCCGCCACCCCCACCCCCTTCGCCCCCCTTACCGCACTCCTGGTCTCCTTGGCGGGTGAGGAGGAGGCCGCCCCCCCGTCGAGCCACTGCCACCCTGATCCCAGTCCCCGGCGGGCCCCTCCTCCTTTGCAGCGCCTCCCGCCGCAACTGCTCTCTGGTTCGCCGCCGCAGGGGTTGCTGTGTGTGGGGATTGGGGCCAGGCCCTTCACCCCTCCTTCCCTCCCTCCTCCCGAGGCGCCGATCAGCTGTTTGCTTTGCCATGATCCGTTCCCCAAGCAGGGAACTGATCATCGCAAAGCGAAATTCCCCCATAGGGAACATCGGAAAGCGATCGCAAAAGCGATGGCAAAATCTTCATCGCTATGCGGATTCGTCATTAAACGGGGTGCCCGTTAAGCGAGGCACCACTGTACCAACTTAACTGGAATTGTTTTTACTTAATGTTATGACTGAAATTGTAGATAAAGAAATATTTGATAATACATGTAATCACGGCAGCAAGGATATTATATGGAAAGTATTGGAAGAAAGAGGAGGTACCGTCTATCAAGGAACTGATAGAAAAGAATTATGACTGAAATTGTAGATAAAGAAATATCTGGTAATACATGGATGTACTAACAGACGCATTAAATGAAAGATCATGTCAAAAAGGACTTAAAAATGGGAACAGGTTTACAATTGGATCCGAAATATGGACTGGAAAGCATAGATAAAAGACGCATGAGAAGGTCCAAAGGAATGGAGAGAGTTGTAAAGATAGATAGTCTGGAAAAACCTGTTGATTGTTTACTTATGTGATTTCCCTTTTAACATAACTAAGTAAGTGGATGTAAGAATACTCTTTCGCTCTCTTGAATTGTACCCCTTCCCCACCCCACCCCCACCATTCCTTCCTTATTCGCCTGTACCCACAACCCAACCCTCACCCTTATTGGAAATGAATAAAACTTTTATTAAAAATAAAGAAAGGAAAAAAGAAAACTCAGAAAAATAAAAGGGGTTATAATGGAAAAGGATGAGAGTCCCTTAACTACTGTAGCATGAATGGCTACAATTAAAGCACAGCTTTTGGCTACAGTTCTCTCCCATCTCTTAAATGGAAAGGAGGAAAAATGCCATTCCTACAATCATCTCAAATAAAATGTAATTCCAGACATTCTATATGTGATGTGTTAAAAGGGATTGCAAGAACTATTTGACATTCTAAGCTTTAAATATCAAGGCATTTAGTTAACACAGCCAAGTCAGTATTTTCATAATGCTACTTAATCAGCAATAAAGGAATGCTCCTGCGAGCCATCATCTTGGGTTAGCAGAAAAGTGGCATATGAAGTTATTATTAACTAACTGCCTACAGGGAGCTTCTTCTCCCTTTAATCAGTGGTCTCACTTCCTACCTACCTGCACATTCTGACATTTCTGGAACTATTATACCCAGTACAGTTGGCAGAAATATTACATTTATGCAAAGGCTGATATCTTATTCCCATCTGGATCTTAAAACAGGAAGTATTGCCATAGTGAGACATTCTCTCCTTTGCCAAATCAGAGAGGCAGCCAAGATTCCATGTTATTAATCTGGCCAAACATATTGCTTTATAACCCCGTTCTTGGCAGATGCATCTCTGTGCTCTCCCTCAAACACACACAGACACATACACACACAAAGCTGAAGTTTTTTGCTTCACACTACCATTTTGCTATGTGTATATTCTCTCTTTCTCAACTATAAAAAATATGAATCATTATACTGCAATTGTACAGTGTAATGTATTTTTATATTATAGAATTAGGCAAACGTCAACTATTTGCAGGCGCACTGCCAAAGGCATAACTTTACTCTGAAATTTGTCCATAACATTTTATCCATATTAACACAGATTGTATTTATGTAGTGTGGGAAGCAGATAGCCACGCATATCTTTCAAGCTTTTAATAGCACTGCTTCTGTTCAAAATTATTTCTCTGCATGTGCATCAGGCTAATTTGGCACCAAATCCCTCAATGTTCATATGTCACATGGAACAGGGAGGAAACCAGATTTTCCCCCATTATTTTATTGAAGAGTTTCCTCATTCAAAACATCAGCATTGCATATTTGTAACCTCTTGGCAGCAATTCAGGATTTCCCTCCAGTGCTTCATAGTCTTTAATACTATGGTTCTTTTAACACCTCTCACAACATGATTTTTTTTCTTTTTCTGGTCCATTAATACACACATCCTATGAAGCATAAAAGACTGCAAATCAGTACTCCAACTTCTCAAAATGTTTTCTTCTCTATTTAGTTCCAAATCAAAAACTAACAGTGGGTGCCAAATTTTATTGAAATTATCTTCTTTTGTTTCTCCTCTAAGTAGTCTTAGAGGATCAGCAACTAGTTGATTTTTCTATTAGTGCTACTACCCACATCCACAACAATATAGTTGGTGAAATTACTTTTCAGTGGGTTGAGTACTGTTCAGATTTGCATGCAATGGATGTTCCCATGGGCCTAACAATGGGAATCGCCATTTTTCTATTTCCTCCCCTCCAAATGTGCAGCCTCTACACCCCTCCATGTGTTCTATAGAAGGGGACCACAAACTGGAAACAACTGTTCACACACCACCTTGTAAGGTTTGTTATGCATCTTGTACAATTCTGACATGGCCTATATTTCTTCCATATTATGTTTATGGCCATTTAAAAAAAAAAGCTGAAAATGGTTGCTATGGAGGACATCCAAAGTAGTGTAGAAGGAGGGGCTGCAAAGAGGGGAGAAATTAACAAAAATCAACTTTCTGTCTTCTGCTTATGAGAGAACCCAGCTCATGCAAGCCTGTGCTACCTCTGATTTGCTTCAACGAAGAGGTGGATCTGTTCAGTTTGCAGAGCAGGAGATTTTGACTCAGCCATTGCTGTTCACATAAAGTTCATGCGACTTGCCTCAGCTAATAGACAAGGTGACAGGACGTATCCCAGTTGTGTGCCTGGCCACATGATGGACTACAGGACCAAGAGGCACCCAGCACAGTTTCAATTGCCTGCTGTGAGTTATTCAGACCTTAAACAATCATCAATAGGATTCTGGCCTCTATCTTATTTTTTAAACTCGTAAAAATATAACTGCTATGATCATGCAGACCGTTCAAAATCACAGGACCTTATAAAGGCAGTATGCATGACACACTTCCAAACAGCCCCTAAAAGAGACAATGTCCTGTAAATCAGAATAGTTTCCACTTTTTAAAGACCAATTTACAGCGACTCTCCTAATAAATCACCTGCACTTTGTCAAACAGTTTATCTTTGTTCAAACACGGCCTGGAGGTAGGGAAAAAAAACCTAGTTGTCCTTGAATTACAAGCTACTGACAGTAGAAGTCAAACTATCTAGACAGTAACAAAGTACTTAAGGTAAACATGCAGGTCAGTTTTCCCCCACTGTTTATAATGCATATTTTACACTGTACCCTCCTTAAATCCTCAGGTTTCTACAGTGACCGATCAATAACTGTCTCATTAGGCCTTGTGGCAGGGTGACAGAGGTTGATGTCTTCCAACCTTCCTACAGTAGTTCTCGGATTCAAATTGAAAAGCTGCCTCCACTCTGAATTAGTGGACAGAAGTGCACTTACTGCAGAAAGGTCAGTTTGGAAGTTTTCAACTGTATCGGTAAGTTGAGGCAAAACTGATCAGTCTTTAATCACTCACTTCCCATTTCCCCACTGGTTACTCTACCATTTCCCGTTTTATGCAATTTTAATCTTTTATCCACATACAAAGCTGTGAGGTTCTAAGGAATGTCCTACTACTCAGAATTCCATTGAATATTCCATTAAATATTCCAGTAGCATGACTTTCAGCAGCAAACTGCTGCCAACGAAGAAGCTGTTGCTTTTACTTCTTGCTACGCACACCAACTCACATAATTGGTGTGCGACAAGAAATACAAGCACTGACTTCTTCACTAGTGCCAATTTGCTGCCTAGGTTTATGCTGCTTGAGCTACATTGACAGGCATAAGCATTAGGATTCTGGCCATTATATTAAGAAAGTGCTGTCAAGTCAATTTCAGCTTATGGAGACCATTCCCCTCCCTCCAGCCTCCCAGGTATAAAAGTACTCCAAAGTGGTCTACCAGTCCCTCCTTTTGGTGTTGCTCCGGGACCATGCAACTTGTTCAAAGCTGCCTCTTCTTCTGTGAGGCACAGTGAAGAACTGGACTTCCAATCTTTGGCTCCACAGCCAGGAGCTCCAATCCACTGAGCAATTTTTTTTTAAAAAAATTAATTTTATTTGTAATATTTTTACCCCACCTTTCTCCTTAAAAAGGAGCCAAGGCGGTTAACATTATTAGAAGACAATATTTAAAGCTAAAAGGAGTATGCATATAAATACTAGGAAGCATCTAGCAAATACTGTGCCAAAAAGGGGTAAAAAAAAAAAGCAACCTGCCACATTATAGCATGTGTGTTAAAAGCAATAAAGTAAGTTATATACTGAAAAGAAAATCTCATGCATATATCCATACATAAAGCCTTACCTCAGCTTGAAAAGAACATCCTGCAAGAAGGTTAACACAGTGGAAAGTTCAGCTCCTCGGCAACCTGGCAGCAGCATACTAAAGCCATCACTCAGCAGCTTCTCTTCTGAGAGGTTCAAGCAGTTGCTGGTCTCAAAAACCTCTTGGACACCATCAATGTAGGTGGAAAGCAGCATCCAGAGGTTTTGTTTTTGTGAGAGGTCATTCCTTGCTACTAAGAACTCCTTTGCCTTTTCATGGAAGGCACTGGAGATCTGCTGAGCTAGCACTCTGACATCCATGTTCTTCTCAATGTATGTCAAGATGAAAGCAAAGTAACCTTTCCAGATGACAGCTCTCTGAGGAACGCTGGTGGAAGCAGGGCTAAGGCAATGGAGAAGTTCCATCATGCGGCTAGCAACATCTTCAGTCTCAGCAATAGCCGCCAGCACAAGGAAAAGATAGAAGAAGTTTTGCAGCCCAACCTCGGTCAGTTCTCGCATCTTTTTCTGGTGAAATTTGGAATAAATTCTGCATTGCAAACACAGGATACACACAGATACACAGACAGAAAACCCACAAAATCAGTTCTCTTTAACTTGTTTTGTATTCACCTTTTCCTTCAACAAGCTGTCGCTTGAACATATTGAAAATGTTCTCCTAAACAGCCTCTATGGAATGTTTTGAAGATCTGTATCCCCCCTAACCCAAACACTGTGGGCTGTGGTGTGGGCGAAGGCAATTGTGAAAAGGAAAATAACAGGGAAAGCGGCTGGAGGCACCAGCAATAACTAGAGCTTTGCCTGTGCAAATCCAGCAACTTCTTCTCCCTTCCTCAGCTGAGCCAACACTCTTCAGGAAATGCTTGAGAGGAAGCAGGGAAAGTGAAGAAGATAAAGCAATAGGTTTACTCATGCAGTTCTGGATCTGACCCATTCTCTTCTTTATACAATAGATTCCATTTGCTGGAGAGGAAGGGGAGGCAGGTGGCATATAAGGGAAAATTAATACATGACATTCACCATACAGGGTGGGGGTGGGATCCCTGAGAGAAGCTATTCAATTCTAAAATTCTGAAAGAAGATCTGCACCAGCAGAAGAACTATCTCATAGATCAGTGGCTCTCAACCATGGTAACTCAGGTGTTCTTAGACTGCAATTCCCAGAATCCCCAGGCAGTACAGCTGGTGGTGAGAAGACTTCTGGAAATTGCAGGCCAAGAACATCTGCGATACCCCAAACTGGTAACCACAGTCAGAGACTGTGAAGAACCACCTTATTTACAAACGCTTTATGGATAAGGAAGAAATCCTTCACATTTATGAATATTTTAGGATTCATAAACATAGACACTATACATGTACACCTTAAATAAAACAAAATGGCTCTGTCACAATTAGCACACAGTGTAGGCTGAAAGTCCCAGAGGTAAAAAAAAATTGTCAAAGCCAAAGTACCTTCCTTTGATCTGTTTCCATGGATGAACCCCATTGGTCTTCACTGCTTTCTTCATTATTTGTGTCAAAATACGAAGAAAAAAATGATAGCTATTGCTGGATGCATACATGTCAGGAGTATGTAGGTTACTGCAACAGTTCTTTACCAACTCATACATAGACATGGGTGTTCTATTAATATTCGCAAGACCTTTGAGACCAAGCCAAGGAATAATAAAGGGGCTGTTCTGAAAGAAAGATACAACACATATATCGCAACATGAGTCACAAAGAGCAATGAATATAATAATTCCCCCACAGCCATTAGAAAATTAAAATGCAGAGATTTGTTGCTCACTAATTGTTTTGGAATCAGCAAAGATGTTCATCGAACAGCTGGTATCCATAGTCATGCAGGTAGCCAAATGCCATTCATTAGACTTATTACCAAGACTAGTATATCTACATTAGCCACAGGCGTCCCCTAGCAAAGAACGGAAGCAGGACCACCAGTCAGTAGTAGTCAAGCAGCATGTGCAAATTCCCAGATGTAATCCCCAGCACTTTCATTTACAAGGAGCATGTAGCAAGCAATGTGAAAGACCTGTATCTATCACCATGCTGGGCCAATGACAGTCAACAGTTTGAACTACATGGACAAACAGCTAGTAAAAGATTGGCTTCTTAAACACTGGGCTGCCTATCAGGTTAAGGAGTCAACTCTTGCATTTAATCCTGTACTTTAGATCTGTGCCTTCCTATTTAGCACAAAGTTTGGGACAGTAACTTTTTCGGATTACAGTTCCTAGAATCCATCAACCACAGTAATCCAAAAACACAACTTTTCCTAGCTCTGATTCAGCATACCAGAAAGACACAAGGACAAGTGTTTTTCTTTGTGCAAAGAGTCCCATTCCAGGATTTCTCACATGAGAATGCAGCAAGTGGGCTCTAGTTCCCCTCTGCTGTTCTTTTCTACTAACTGAAGACTGACATACTCTCGGTAATAAATTAACCAGTTTAAAAACCTTTCCACCCAAATGCAACTAAAATGTCTGCTACAGTCGTGCCTCACATATGAGCGCACTGTTTAACGATGAATCCGCATAGCAATGCAGATTTTGCGATTGCTAATATGATCGCATACCGATGTTTTAATAGGGCGAAAATCGCTTTGCGACGATCAGTAAGCATTTCGCTTACCGATCTTCGCATTGCGATGGGAGAACAGCTGTTCAGCAGTTCCAAAATGGCCGCCGGAACACCCAAAAGGGCCGCCGGAACACCCAAAATGCCCTCCAATGGCCGCTGGAACACCAAAAATGGCCACGGACGGATGGGGAAACATCGCAGAACGGTGAGTTTTGGGCCCATTTGGAACGCATTAAACAAAGTTTAATGCATTCCAATGGGCTTTTCTGTTCCGTTTAGCGATGTTTCCCCATAGCGAAGGTTAATCCGGAACGGATTAACCTCGCTATGCGGGGCACCACTGTATCTCTTTAAATACAACAAGATGACTTACAAAAGAAAACTCTGACTGATATATGAGTATTGCTCAGAGGGCAAGACCTGTCAACATCCTTTCTCTCACAATGATCAGCCGGTTTTCCTATAGTTACACTAATGCTGGAAGAACACTTTAGTTTTAGTCTTCAGTCAAAAGAAGATTAAGCCCTTCCTAGCAAGAAAGAAACCCCATATCTCTGGACAGACATTTCCCCATTTTTAACATTTTGGAGTGTAACTTCCTGAAATCTACTAAGACCTTTTGCAGCAGAGTGGGAAATAAACAGAATCAGTGTGTAAATCTGAGCTCTTAAAAAAGAAATAACCAATAAGCAGTAGAAAGCCCTATTCCTAAATAGCGGATTATTATTTTTAAAAATACATCCTCAAATTGGATTACTAAAAACAACCCCACCCCCCAAAAAACCAATTTCCTCAAGACTTCCATTTACAGCAATACTTTTTCTTCAGCTTATTTACTAACCAAATTCTTACTGTAATGTTCCCAAAGTATGGTGACAGTAGAGAGGTTCACATCCCAGATATGAGTTAAGGTCAAACAGCATTGAAGATGCATTCGTAAGTGTTCTTCTAACACTCCAGCCTAGTAAACAAAGACATTCAAGTGCTGTTAAATCTTATTTAGCTTTTTTTTTTTCATTTAATAAAAATAACCTTGAACACGAATCCAGTACTGTACACAGCTTTCAGATTTTGATAATAATATCCTCCCATAAATGTTATTTCTAGTTTAGTAAAAAAAAGCCAATGCGTTAATATGAGCAGTGATCTAGAAAATAAAATCTGACAAATACCCAGACTGTCTCAATCCATCTACATTTTTAGGCCTTCAAATTCTATAACCTGAAACCTAGAGGTTTAAAAGATAATTTGGGAGTGTAATACCCAGATGAGAAGACCACACATATCAGCATATCCCAAATAAAAGGTTACAAACTGTTGCGTCCACAGCACATCTTCCAGAGATTAAATCCTCTTGCAAGCAACAGAAAACGCCGATTTGTAAGTATGTTCTGCCCCTGTGACTGATTGGAAAGACCAAGCTCTAAAAAAAGTTCTGTTCCCTTCACACAGGCAGCTGTGTGACTACTGCATAAACCACCCACCAAACATACTTATTTTTGTATCTTCTCAGGCATTTCAAAAGTAGAACTACTTCAGTTCTTACTGGCTGCTCCTGAAATGAAGCCGCATCAGCAAAGCTTTGTTCTCTTCTGCATATCCCTGCCTAGAGTCCATTCTTTGCTGTACAGTGCCAATGCAGTGAAAATCTGAGGAAGAATTTCTTATTTTGGGGTGTTTAAATGTTTTTGGATTGGAACGCCAGTAACCCTCACCACTGGTGAAGGATAACAGGCTTTGCAGTACTAGTATATCTGGAAGGCTCCTCCTTTTAACTATACTATCAATGTTATCAGGTCAAACATCTAAAAATAACCCACTGTGAAGCATAAACTGTTTTTCCCCCCTTTCCTTTTCAAGGTTTTTCTAATGTAACCTCCTGAGTATTGTAACACTTTTAATTATTCAAAGAAACTACTGTATATAATGTTCAGAAAGGAGTCTAGTCTATAGGGTGATGCTAGAAGGGCATGAATAGGATTTTAACTGGAGAAGTAAAGTTCTCTTCTCCAAGACTTGGCCTGCAAAAATATGACGCAATGCACAAATGTCACGAAAGTAATTTTACTTTCCAAGAGTTATTTTTTGTTCATATGATCAGAAAGGAATTTGTAGTATAAAATCAATCATTTGAGATCTACTGTAAAGGACAAATTTTAAAACTCTTAACTTTATCTTCTGAGACTTTTATTTGGCATTTGCCCATTTTATCAGACATACTCAGTGACTACTAAAAACAAAGTTAGAAATAAAGGCAAGCTTTATTTTAAATTATCTTACAAAAATGACAAAAGAATCCAATGCTAACTAAACAGATGCTTGATCTTTTGTAAAAACCACTGTAGTTATAAAATTATTTTTGCAAAGATGCTGAAAAGCATTCTTAGGTGTCCTTGCAGAATAGGGCTTTTGCAGAAAAGCAAATGTAACAATTAGAAGAACTGGGGATATATGTCTGTTTGATCCCACATATGTGCTTATTACTTTAGCTGTAAAACCACAGAAGCTACCTATTAGGGACATTCTTCGTTCTGAATATATTCTAATTTAGTAAGATTCCCTGTATAAATAAATGAGAATTTAGAAATGCTTCATATTACTGTGGAAATAAGTATGTGTTAAGAATTTACGTAGATGCTTCCACATCATAACTTATAAGGTATTCTTTTGTTTAATCATACATGTACTACCACAACTGTATTGGGAACTGCAAGAGGATATGGTTTCCTCACACTTCCAGACTCAAAACACAGCAACCCAGAAGAAGTTTCTGTGTGTGTAGGACATTTTATTTTCTGAGCTCACATATCTCAGAATAAAACGGGAACCAAAAAAAATTACTCTTATGTTAATTGCTTGATGGCATAAGTAAACAAGAACCAGCCTTCCTAAAACTACCATGTTTCCCCGAGTATAAGACAGGGTCTTATATTAATTTTTGCTCAAAAAAAGCAGCAGGGCTTATTTTCAGGGGATGTTTTATTTTTTTCATCTACAACAATCTACGTTTATTCAAATAAAGAACATGTCATCTTCTGGTTGCTGCACAGTGGCAACTTTCACTTAAGCTTTCATTTAACTAGGGCTTATTTTGGGGGGTAGGGCTTATATTATGAGCATCCTGAAAAATCATACTAAGGCTTATTTTCAGGTTAGGTCTTATTCTCGGGAAAACAGGGTAAGCAGTCTTGCAAAGAGTCCCATTTTCACCAAAAGATCCCAGCTTACTCCAGCAAACAATTACATCCCTGATGTAACGCCAATATTGCCCTTGTATACAAAAATTCTATTTTAACTTTAAACAAGATGCCACAATAGCATAACAAAAAATAGTTTGTCTATTGCAAAATCTATTAAAAAAAACCTGGGCAATTTCTCTGAAACTGACATTCTGCAACAAAATATTTTATGAATGTATTTATAATAACTGTTCCTAGAAACATTGTATTCAAAGAGTATCACACATTGGATGCTTAGGGGTTTTTTTTAACTATGTAAAACAGGTTCAATTGAAAGTATTTTTCTTCTACAGTAATCACATCCACATTTTTAGCATTCCTTTCAACTTCCACTGGTTTCCACTGTAGCCATTTTCTGAATATACTAATTAAAAGACTCTCATAGTCATACTCTGGGTCTCATTCTTGGCAGATTCTCTTGGATATAAATCCTATTGAATTCAGTAGGACCTCTTTCTGTGTGGTCATACACAGAGCCTACGGGGTTAAAAAAACAGAGTGATAATATAGTACAATTTTGAACCATAATATATTTTGCACTGGATCCAGAATTACATTTCCATAGCTCCCACTGCTACATCCAATGCCACCTCCTGGCTCTTCTAATACAGCCTAGGAGGTGGCACCGGCGGTTGCCTTGTGAAGGGAGAATTTATGAAAATTGCTTTCCTCCTTCCATTCTTACTGAACCAAAATCTCCTCCATGAACTAAAGCAGAAATTATGCTTGGGAAGAACACTAGAGAAGGAAACCTGGATTCCACTAGAATTCCTGCACTTTTGAAAAAAATAGTGTATGTAAGTAATAGATTTTCTCTAAATTCATACTTAGGTTGCATGGTACAAAATGTAATTTATGTTAACACCAGCCATTACAAAGAAAAAAGAAAAAAAATGAGTACTCCTGTTACTTAGGCTACATGGCTAGCCATTTCTGAGGTAAAAACAAATGAAATAAATTATTTTGTAATAGCTGATGTTACACAAATTACAATTTGTAGCATGGAATCCAAAAACAAATTTACAGAAAACATATTAATATGGGCAACATATTTTAAAGCACTTTTGGAAAGGAGGTCAATTCTGACCTCTGGGCCGCAAAGTACTGCATTAAGAGCTCTGTCGAAAGAAAAATGATAAGGTATGAAATGAATGCTCAGAAGCTACAACCTTATCAGTAAGAGTTTGAGTCAAGCCTGTAAGACAAATTGCTCAGCAAGGCAAGTCACCTTCCTGCTGTGATGAGGATATAGCTGAATTTCCAATGCAATACGCTATCTCCCCTATCACGTCTCTCAAGCTGATATCCTCAGATTCAGCATAGAGTTTACATTTTCTAAGCATCCGGTTCTTATTCAGAATACATCTTGTCAAAGGAACCAAATAACGCATCCAGGATAATTATCTCCCCCCCCAACACACACCCCTTATCTGACAATTTATCTTCAAAATACAACCTTTTTAGAAGTATGACCACTAACAAGAAGGAAACTACTATAAAGCATCCAAGCTCAGGCCAATCACAAAGGCAGTTCACACACTTGAAATAAAGAATTTTTCAACTTTCAGAAAGTGTGATCCAGTAATTAAAAATATTTTCCACATTCTTTCAACTTGTCTGAAGGTAGCCAAAACTTGCCAGTTATTATTCAAATACTTACCTGACTACTGATGGACCTCTTCAAGAGATCTTCTACATAGGGCCAATTGGATTCAACTGGTTTCTGAACAGAAAATAGGATGATTACATAGCTGATTATGTAATTAACGTTTATAGTGCAATCCTACACATACCTAAGAGATAAGTGAAACCTATACAGGTTACAGCAGTTCCATTTGGATTTCACACTATTTTGGACCATCAACATGCTTGGAGAAAAGCATCTAGCCCTATCCTGCCATCATCATTGTGTTTATGAGATCAATAAGTCTGATGATGAGAAGAGTTTCCATGTAATCTGTATACTTTACACATGACCAAGAACCCTGATTATCCAGGGTATGTATTGATGTGCACACATTACATATAAGCAGTCTAAGCCAGCTGCTGGGAAACATGAATGTGAGGTGCTACATAGCCTGCTTTTTGAGTTTCCCATGGACACATGGCTAGCCACTATAGTAACCAAATGCTAGACCGGCCATAAGCGTAGTTCTTCTTATGCATAGCAAGAAAGTAAGAATGTGAGAAATTCCCACCCCTTTCATTGCTACATCTAAGAATACTCTTTTATCTCTAGTTTTGGGCAAAAACGTCTCTCATCTTGATAAAAATATAAATATATTTTACCGGAGCCCAAGCAAGCGAAAATGAAGTTTCAAAACTGAAAGATAAGCAACTTGTTATTTAACAGAAAAATATGCTCTAAGGCCAAAGATCAAATTCTTTGACTTTCCATGTTTATGTTCTAGAGCAGTGATTCCCAATTTGGGGTCTCCAGATGTTCCTGGATTGCAGCTCCCAGAAATCCTGGCCAGCAAAGCTGCTGGGAGTTTTAGTCCATGAATATCAGGGGACGAAGGTTCCTGCTAAGCTGGGCGCATGTGTGTGCATGGCTCCCCTTCCGTCTGCGTAGCTATCTTCCTCCTCCATGCAGTGACTGTGTTAGATTTTGATTGCGACGGAACCCAGCACGTGGAGAGCAGAATCACGCACACAAGCAGAGGCAAAGCCCCATGCGCGAGAGGCGAAGCGGGGCTGAAAATTAGAGGGAATGTTGCTAGGGACTCAAAGTCGGGAACTACTGTTCTAGAGAATGTAGAATATGCCTACTGTACTGTCTCTAACATGTTATCAGTGATAAAAACAGCAAGAGGTCTTTTTCCAATGGAGTCAATGTTATCATAAATAACAGTGTACATTTTCTTTCAATTTTTCTCTTTTTCCAATGGAGTCAATGTTATCATAACAGTGTAAGTTTTCTTTCTATTTTTCTAGAAAACTACATCCAATATACAAAGTTTGGTCTTTCAGCTCATCTTAAAACAGGGGGGTGGAAAGTCTGTGCGTCTTATGGAGCGAAGAAAACAGATTATATTTTCCTATTTTCTTCTCCTAAAAAATTTGTGCTTCTTATGGAGCGAAAAATACGGGTACATCCAATATACAAAGTTTAATCTTTTGGCTCATCTTATCCAGAAGAAATGTCAGCAGTAACTATGGGAGTAGATGACTTCTTCAGCCTCAACAGACAGAAATAAACGAAAGACATACATAGTGAGTTTTTTTTTAAATCAACCATCTACAACATCCCACCTTCTATTTGCTCTTTATCAAACATGCATCCAGAAGAAATGTCAGCAGTAACTATGGGAGTAGATGACTTCTTCAGCCTCAACAGACAGAGATAAACAAAAGACATGAGTTTTTTTTTAATCAACCATCTACAACATCCCACCTTCTATTTGCTCTTTATCAAACATGCATTTTCAGAAACAATTCTAGAAGAGATCATAGCCAATTTCCCTTCACTCCAATAGTATATACAGCACTTGTGCCTAAGCAAAGGATTTATACTAAAATTTGCTAAGCCAATTTGCATATAGTCTGGAGCCAGTGGCTTTAAAGAATACTTTGCATTCTTTTGTCATGTTTCTAACAAATACAAAACTTTGGGCTACAACTTTGGATATATAGGTAGCACTTCCTTTCAACAAGGTGCAAAATAAGTTTCTTTTTCTGGTTCTCCTGTTGAGTTGCTAAGCTGCTCAGCTGGAAACCACTCTTTGCATATCTTAAAAACTAGTCATTTTAAACAATTCAAAGGCAAGGATGTTTAGCTTGAAGTCATTCTGACTATAATTCAGTAGCCCAAAGCACCGTTAAAATTGACCCCTGCAATGTTCAAAAGTGGCAATATTTCTATTCTATGTATTTGGTTTTAAAAATTTATGAATGTAGCCTTTAAGGATACGATAACATGGGCTGTTTTGTATTGGAGGAAAGACATGTACGATATGTGTGCCCATTATAAGTTTTAAATAAGATGGGATATTCCCTTTCAAGCTGAGACTTCTGACAACTTTTTCATTTAATCCATATAAGCTAGCGCTATCATACTTTATACACATACATGCATATGCACCCACCCCTTCTCACTGCTAAATATGATCATACGTATAATTCTATTCAAAATTATCTGCAATTTGGAAGTTATAACTCATAAAAGCTTTCTTTTTTAAAAAAATACTTTGAAAATCCAAAGACTTGAACACTTGAAATAATTAAATAAATAAATAATCTGAAACCATGACAATATGTACAGTGCTGCCTTGCTAGTCAGTTACCCCGCATGACAGTTTTTTCGCTAGACACTGGCTTTTTGCAATCGCTATAGCAATTCGCAAAACAGTGATTCCGATGGGGGAATTTTGTTGGACAATGTTTGGTCCCTGCTTCGCAAACCGATTTTCGCTAGCCGACGATTTTGACAGCTCCCTCTGCGCTTGCAAACAGGTGACCTAAGAATCGCAAGCCAGCGATTTAAACAGCTGATCGGCGGTTTGCAAAGCGGCTTTCCTATGGCCGATCTTCGCTAGACATCGACGATTCTTCCCCACTGGAACGCATTAAACAGGTTTCAATGCATCCCCATGGGGAAATGTTTTTCCCTAGACAATGATTTCACTAAACAGCTATTTCAGTGGAACGGATTATCATCGTCTAGCGAGGCACCACTGTATAACAATCCTAGCCTCTCCCTTTTTCAAAATCTCAGTGGCCTCTTTAAAAAGTTTGAACTTCAAAGCAGGTTTCCAAAAGAGAGGACAAACTGACAAAAATTTAAGTTCAATATTAATGACCTGAGGCGTTTTTCTCAGCAGTATAAAACATGCATACATTTCTCCCTTATGTTGATCATAATTTAACAACAACAAAATACACTATTCTCTGCAAAAGTTCAAAAGCATGTAACCATGATATGTAAGCTAAACCCACCCATGAGAAGCAATGCACCCCCATCTGTATACTCTAAAATGGTGAAGGGGGGGGACTACAAAGCCTCTGGCTACATTTCAGCCAAATATATGTTGTGGTGTCTGCCCAGGTCATGAATATTAATGTGATATCTACATAGACCAATGGGAGCACTGCAATGATGGAGTCACAAGATATAAGAGACTCAGCAGGAGGAGGGGTAGTTAGTGAGTTGAGGAGACTGAGAGTTGGCGAGTTTTGAAGACTGGTGGTTGAGAGTGGATGTTGGAGGATGTTTGGTAAGAGTTAACAACATTGCTTGGATTATCATTATCTGTAACAATAAACAATTTCTATTTGGTCCTTTTAAAAATGATACATTGCCTGGACCTCTATTATTAATATTAAACAATGTTGATGTAATCAACTGGTGGCAGCTGAAACATAGCATGAGCTCTTAGTTTGGTGAAACAATCAGGGGCCACATGGAATCGTGACACATGTGTTCCCACTTTCATTTATCAAGGGACAGATACCGTTCACAGAAACAAACAAACAACTATCTTAGTCAGTAGAGAAGCTACTGACTAAAGCTTGAAAGTGGCTGTGCATTTGGTTCCTAAATATAAATCACTTTCAGGCAGCTAGGAAGACAAATGCTCCAAAAACTAGTTCTTAGTGTACTATCACTTTCCTACAAAACTGGAGGCAACAAATGCAGATAATCTGATTTATTCTGGTTATCCTGTAAGATGCTAAGATCTGGAAACCTGGCTTCAAACTGTAACAGATTGGGGCAGAGAAAAGCAAAAGGTTCCAGTTCAGATGGAACACTAAGCTTTCTACTGCTGAGATGTTTATGGTCATTCCAATCCCACCTCCTTGCAAGAGGAGCCAGGTGGTATCTGGGCAGCACATACTAGCATGCTTTTTCCATTTTTAACTTACATAAAGATGTTATGGGCTAATAAATTTGGGGATTTCTTTGCAGTGCTGAGTTCACCAGTAACTACATAGCAGTGACATGCCAGACTCCAGGCTCTCACTGGGAGGTTACTCCCAGGCAAGGGATTGCTACATGTTTCTCCCCCTCTCAAACCTTCTGCATGGCCTGGGAATGTGATTCAGAGTAGGAATCACAGCTGGAAAGATATGAAGGAATGACATCAACTGAAGTACTAAGACAAATACTTTAGAATTACAGTACCACACATTAACATTAGTTAATGAATTTGCAAATTAGCATAGATATGAAGGAATGACATCAACTGAAGTAGTAAGACAAATACTTTAGAAGTACCACACATTAACATTAGGTAATGAATTTGCAAATTAGCACGACCAATAAATGCAAGCTCTCCAGGTCGTAAGAGTAAACAAAATATTTGTAACAGCCTAAGTTCTCATTGTTAAATTGTCACTACCAAGGTTGCTTCTTATTTCAAATGTTGTTTTCAGGTACGGATACCTACACAGAATATAACACCAATTATGAGCCATAAAAAACACAGCATATGTTCCTCTTAGAAATACTCAAAGACAAGAAAAGATTAAAACTCTCATTTTTCAATATGTTACAAAGGGATATGTACTGAAGTTTGTACATATGTTCCCTTCACAGTTTGGCGAGAGGGCTCATTTATTTTGCAGCCAAGTAGCTGTAAAATGGAAAATTACAAAACTGTCAATCCTCTGGAAGTACTACTCTGTGTTTTTTTTCCCTTGGTCTCTACCACAGTCCCACCTCCTCTCCCATCCACTCTTCAATACCAGAGATCAACACGGACCTTGGTTCGGAGGTTCGTGCCGGTTCATATGCACAGCACCACAGGTGCAACATGTTCCCTTTCCCTGCTTCCCCAGCCGATGACCCACTCACTAGTTGGAGTGCCCTCTTCTTCAGCTGTTTGACCAAACCTTGGCGGGAGCACAGGTCTGCCTGCCCTGCTTCCTTGTGTGAGTGGGCAATCAGCCAAAGGGGATGGGCAGGAAAGTCCCTGTTCCCGCTGGAGACTGGTCGAGAAGCTGAAGAGGCGGAGGAGAGGAGTGTCTGCTGTCTGGTGAGTAGGGGATCCATCCAAGGAGGTGGGGGAAAGGAACACACAGCACCTGTGGTGCCACATGTATGGACCAGCATGAATCTCCAAACCAAGGTTGGTGCCCATCCCTATTCTATAAATATCAAATACTTAAAAAGAGAGAAACACTGCAACAGGGTTGTGTATTTGAGAAGCTCAGCCAACCGATTGCAACATGGTTTGAAAATGCAGTTACAGTGGTGCCTCGCATAACTATGTTAATTGGTTCCATTAAAAACATCGTTATGTGAAAACATCGTTAAGCGAAACACCATTTCCCATAGGAATGCATTGAAAACCAGTTAATCCGTTCCAATAGGAGCCTATTCAATACATTTCGGGCCAAGGACTGACCTGGGTGGCGAAGCTTCGGTGGCGGCACTCGACTGGCGACGCGTGACCAAGATGCATATGACCGAGAGCCTTCCTTTCAAATCAAGGGGGTAATGTTGGCGTGTATAATTTTTTTTGGGAGTGAAAGGTAAAAACATTCCCTGGTCTTGATGGTCTGTCGCTCGATCCCTCTCTCTTCCTTTCCTTTTCCTTTCTTGCCACCGCCATTGGGGCCGAAGAGCCACGGCCAACAAGAAACAAGAAACAAACAAAAGTTACAGTGGTGCCTCGCATAACTATGTTAATTGGTTCCATTAAAAACATCGTTATGTGAAAACATCGTTAAGCGAAACACCATTTCCCATAGGAATGCATTGAAAACCAGTTAATCCGTTCCAATAGGAGCCTATTCAATACATTTCCATGGTGAAAAAAAATCACCAAAAATTCAAAAAGACTCAGAACGAAGCCAAATTACTTTAACGAAGGTTTTATTAGGTGCACTAACGATTCCAAGCATTTTAAACATTTTTAAAACATTTTAGAATATTTTTAAAATAGCGAAAACAGGGCTGTAAAAAAAAAACGTTAAGCAAAACAGGGGACCTAAAACTGTCATCGTTAAGTGAAGCAAGGTCCCAAACATTGTTATGCGAAAATCCCCCATAGGAAACATCGTTAGGTGAGGCGGCAAAATTTCCAGCAAAGGCCATCGTTATGCGAATTCATCGTTGAGCGAGGCACTCGTTAAGCAAGGCACCACTGTATTCAGTCTTGAAAGACACAACCACAGTAACAAGGTGCATTTTGATCACATATCATCTAATAATCAGGTAAGAGCAATTTTCTGCAGAAATACCAATAACCTCACACTGATATATATTTTTTGCGGGGGGGGCAGGAGAACCTACCTGTTCATCCACATGTCCATTTCGGTCAACATGATAAAGTAATGCTAGGTGTGTAATAAACCACCAGCTAAAACTCAGTGGATCATTGCAAGCAATAGACTCAGCAGCAGACATTTCTTCTGTACCTCTTCTTTTTTCAAATGCATTTCTTAGAATTCTATTCAACCAAGTCCAGAAAGACTGCAGAAAAAGGAAAACCATCCAGCTTATTTCAGAAAGGAGTTTTATTTTATGCAGAACAGGGGTGGGCAAAACATAATATCTCGGTCATTTGTGCCCCTACCTTTTAACCTAAAAAGAACCCTGAGGGTGCAGGAGACATGTGCCACGCCCTGCAAATTATTTCCAGTCCATTGAGACTTCTTGCCACTTGGAGTTTCAAATAAAGTCCTGTGGGCTTAAAATAGGTCCAGAGCTCTCAATAACATGGCACAATTCGCGCCTTGATACAGGAGGACACTACATGTGTTAAGTCACCCTGCAACGCCTGCGCTCGTCACTTATTTCCCACTACACTTTGCAGGCTGTGATTCTGTAGCTCAAACGCATGAAGATTTTTAAAAAAAAAAATTTATGAGCCAAAATTTACTTTTTGATGATCTGCTTCATAGATTTATGACACTTATCTGCCACACAGAGACAGAAGAAAATGGTCAAATCTTCAAAACAGGTAAGAGGGTGCCTGAGATAACTGGTGACTTCTCAGCTCTGAGAAGTCTGATAAAAGCTTCTGGGTTCTTCCCATTTCTTCTTGGAAAAATAAACATTTTTTTGTGAACAACACAATGTAAACTCCACATGGGTGGAAAGTTGTCAAGTCTCAGAAGAAACTCTGGTGAAGCTCTCCTTCTTTGTTTCTCCTGCTGCCTCTCTCAACACTCCTTTCGTACTTACTGTCCCCCAGCTTCCTTCTTCCTCCAATTTCTCCCCTAGAGGGTGTCATGGGGCCAATCCAGTGAGCCCTATGCCCAGGTCTTCCCCATCTGCTTTGGCAGGTACCAGCTCTGTTTGGGCTGGAACAGCATCCATCCATACAGTGAAGTCACTGAGTCACAAGTCTTCCACATCTGTAGCCTCCAGCTGGGCCTTAGTTTGTATGGCACAGTCTCTGGGCTCTGGCTTGTCTGCTGTTATTGCTCCCAGGAGAACAGGTGCAGGTGTTCTCCTAGAATCCTAAGCTGACCTCCCCTCACAGGCCTGTACTCCACTCCCCGGAATGTCAGCAGAGAATTCTAAATATCTCACCAACCCACAAATCCCAGGATTCTGCAGATCAGAGAGCTTCTGGAGATAACTTTCGCTCCCGATCCAAGAGCATAAATTCTTTTGAAGCTTATGAAGTAGCAGAACAACTACATATGCCACTGACATGAATGAGTGCTTATCACACTGAAAATAGATTTGGATATCACTTTATCAGTCCCAATACTCATTAGCCTAGAAGCAGCTGAAATTTTTTAATTTTTCTCTTTCAGAAAATATTAGTTTTAGTTGGCATGCAATGATTCTTACCTCTGTAAGAGATCCCTTATTTCTGTGATCAAGCATGTGAATAAGCAGAATCCATAGTTCCTTTACACAGATGCAAGGGTAAGGATGACTAGTGAGAGCTTCAGAGGACCTTATCTGTAAAAAAGAAACAATTTGACTCAGATCAGCAGGAATGTTAGTTGCACAGATTTAGAAATCTCTTATAGTTATAATGGAATTTAGATGGTATCATTTAGCAGACCTGCAAGGAAGGTAAAGGTCCCAAATAAACTTGAAGCATCTTACGGATAATAAAATCACTCCTGACTCTTAAACCAACACACACACCCCAATACATTGCTAAAACAAAGAGCACAGAATTGCTCCATTTCAAAGGAAAATTGCAACCTTTGCAAAAACTTTTTTTCCCCTATAGCATTCATGTTTTGCTTTGGAGGGCTCTATGAGCCAAGTAAAGGCATTGGGGCTCAACGTAGCTTATAAAGCACACGATTCTTATACGTGATGCAGTCCAATTACCTGCTCAATGTAGGTTGTGAGGTAGACAATGTGGCCCTGGAGCCACATATACACACACCCCCTGGCTGTTTTGGGGCCCCAGACCTCTCAGAGTGGCAGTTCACCTTTTGAACAGGCCACAGTCCCACCAAATTGCAACTATCTGTCAGAACTGGAATTGGCGTTTTAGCTACTTTCAGTTCTGTAACTTCATCCCCCCCCGCCCCCCCCAGGGTAGTCTGTAGAGCCCTTGCAGGATTTCAGGAGGAAAAAAATGGTCCCTAGACCTATCCCTGTTTTAGATTCTATAGCATCCTCAGCAGATGTCTACCTACCCAGTCAATATACTTTCAATGAAGGAGAACCCATTGTCACCCAAGAAAATCTGCTCTACTGCCAAACAACTCAAGCTATAAAGAGGTTACTCATATATTTAGCTCAAATCAACTTTTCTGCAATTGCCAGCCACTGGTTCTATTCCTACCCTCTGGAGAAACAGGAATTCTCTTTTTATCTTCTGCATGGCACACCTTCAGATATTTGAAGGTCGATATCATGTCCTTCCTTAACCATTTTTTCTCAGCTGAACAACCTCAGCTCTTTCAACTGTTCATCACAAAACATGGTTTCCAGACCTATTAATACTCTAGTTGCTCTTCTCTGGTCTACTTCTGAAGAATTGTGGGAAATGAGAAAATTACCTCAGTACCCACAAATCCTGTCCAGCATCTAGACTACATAACTTCTCTCACACCCTCCTACTGTACTTCTATAAAACCATCCTCCTCCTTTAAAAAACCTCAGCAAAACATGTACTATATGTTTTGTGTGCAGAGTCTCACATCAGATTTAGAAAAACATTTTTGTGGCAGTGTTTTTGTATGTAGCTAATTCATATAACTTCACATGTTGATTTTAGATAAATAAATAAAAATAGTCAAATTTCCCAGAGTCTCATGCTTGTAATGCAACTCTAAAACAGAACACACAGGCATCACAACTTCTTTTTCCAAACAGCATTCTATTTTCAAGACTTGTTAGTCTGCCATCTTTAATCACCGGGTTTTACCTTGATCCACCAGCAGGTGGTATTGTAGCCACATACAGGAACTGGACACCACTCCCATTACTTTTAAGATTTAAAACCCAAAATTTTTACACTATTTTGTATTATATTTCCCTTCATGTTGTATGCCACATACTTTACGCAATGCAAATTTACCTTTTCTATTAAGTCTTTAAGATGTATGCAGTTTTGAAAGTGTGAGCAAAGAGTGAAGAAGGAAATAAGTAAGAAAGATGTTAAGACACAAAAAAGCTTTCTTTGGGAGTCTAAAGTGTTCCAATGAAGGGATTACAATTCTAAAGTATAGGCTACATGAAAGCTAAACACACTGCTTAACTCTAATTATCTCTGGCCATTCCACTGTCCTTTGAAAGTAGGAGAATGTGGAACTACACACAGCTGATCAACATAAAAGATCAATTCCACAGACTGAATAAGAAGAGCACTGTCTACATAACGGAGCTTTTTTGACTCTTCCTCACAGTACACCATCTTTATCACTGCTCCCCAGGACACCCTGGAACAGTGGGTGTGGGGCAGGCAAGTCCACACCAAGGCAGGGCAATTGGGAAAATCCAGTGGGACTATATGGCGGAGGTCGACGTGTCTTCCTGCTTCCACAAAACATCTTGAGATTCATCTCTACGATTACAGACATAGTTTTCAGGCAGTAGCATGCATTTTTCTTTAAAGAAGAGGAACAACTATGTATGAGGAAGGACAGAAATCAAAACTGTTAAATAAAATATTTTAAAATATACTGTCCTTAAAAACAAGGTGTGCCATTGCAGTCCAAGTTAGGGGGTCAAAAACAGCTAAATTCTAGCATCTACATATATTATAATAATTTGAACAGTTTATTCCACTTTGGCATTTTTAAACAATCTGGAGTAATTTATTGCAGTGTTTGTAGCTTTAGCATTATAGGTATTTTAATTCTGGACAAAAGTACACTTTTAAATTATACTCTCATTCAATTGGCATACTCTAATGAATAAACAGAAAATAAGAATTCCTAGCCAAAACATTAAAAGGTACAGTAAAATGTAAGAATTCAATAGAAAAACAGTCTACTGAAAAACACCTTTTTATTAATATTATGCAGAGCAATGTACACTATGTAAATATACCTCAATAAATATTTATATAGCATCATCATCATCGATAAAGCAGTTGATATTAATAAGCCAGATATTATAATTTATCCAGAGGTATACCTCTGGATAAACAACAAAGGAAAATATAAAGTTGGCATTCCGTTAAGCAATCTCAAACATACAGAACGTATAAACATTGTGAAGTACCAAATATTAAGGCAAGGATTTTTTTTAAAGGAAGCAAGACCAGATCATTCCCCTCCCCATACAAATTTAGGAGTTTCGCCAAAATCTTTGCTTACCAGTTTAACTTGCTTGCTGAAATCCAAAAATTAGTGAATTTGCAAACATGTCATCTCACTCACCATGTTTTAGTACTCCAGGCCTAATTTTTAGGCTTGGCTTGTTGATCCACCACCAAGCACCAGAATAGTAGTAGTAGTAGTAGCAGTAGCAGCAGCAATAGCAACAACAACAGCAGCAACAACAATAAATAAATATTGTAATACCTTTGTATATCTGTTGGCTGACAAACTTATCAGATCGTATAGAAGATTTTCAGAATGTTCTTCAAATAAACTGATGTTGGTTAAATTTTCACCTGTTAAATTTGTGAACCTGTGAGCATACACAGTTTGCCCTAAGAAACAGAAATAAAACAGGAGAAATTTACTCTTTGACATTGTCTTTATGAATGAAAAAACGGGCTACAGGCTTTCACAAAGAAAAATGAAAAGCCCAAATCAGCCATTTTCAATTTGAGAGAAGAAGCTAACAGATAAATGTACTGCTGATTTGACGGCACCTCCCCCACCACCATGCCAGCAACAAAAGCGAGTTGCACAAAGTAGCATTTACTCAGTGCCATAAATCCTATGGCTTGATTTGAACGATGTGCTCAGTCCCACGGTATTCTAGCAACACATAAAGCTTCTTTCCCCATGTGACTAACAGGGATTGTACAATCAGGACGTTTTGGGAGAAAGCAAGCAAGGAACAATAGTAACAGCACAATTCAGACCATGTTTAAAAAGTGAACCTTAGTCATTGCCCTATGTTTTGTCCACAGCTAGAACAGAGAAGGGCTAGATGATGTCTGAACTGATTTTGTGACTTAGGCTGTTTGCATTACACACATGGTCATAACTAATAGAATTGAGGGCATGAACTTTACAAAAGACCAGCTCCTTGTTTGTTGATACAGATGGAGGAGAAACTAAGGAGGAAAAACCTCAGAATGCCATTGAAGGTTTTTTTTCTTTGTTATTTCAGAGCCTGACATGTTTCTGCCCTTTTAGGGTCTTCCTCAGGGGAACCCCAGCAAACTAAAAATGCTGTGGAGAATGCTGAGGGGAAAAAAATTGCTAGGACTCTACGGCATTTCCATCTTGGGTTATACACTTTAGTGAATGCCTGCCAGTTCTGGTTCATTAACTTTTGATATAGACTGAACCAGCTCCTGCATTTTTGAACTCTCTCTATGGCAGGGAGAGGCTGGCTAAAGGAGGTGTCGTGAAGAGTACCTGCACTTCCAGATTCACAAGGACACAATGGCACTGCACTGAAGAAACACAGGAAGGAGCCAATGGTGAAGATGGAAAATGGCTCTCATCTATTATTCAACAGCTGAAATTGACAGATCACGATCCATGCTGACTGGTGCCTGGCAGCTCCTAGCCACTGTCACCCAAGGCATCAAATTTTTTAAAAAAGTAATCAAATATCTATCACTATCTTTATGACACAGTTGTCAGGATTTCTGGCATATACAGCTACTCAACAACAATTAAAAAAATTAATAATGCAGTACATTTAGAATCTGCAAATGAGGGCTTCGGATTACATGGAAGGGGTGAAGATAATTTCCAAATAAAATTCTATATCCTGTGATTAGTCATTTAAAAGTGTTTTTGCTTGTCTAAGAACCTGCACCAACACAGCTACATGCCAGTGCATTTTACGCTTTGTTTGCATGACAAGATAGCTAGGCCAGACTTTCAAATTCAGAATGTTAGTGGGGGCATACAAACACACATAATTTTTTCACCTTTTACCTTAATTCAAAAAATAAAGTTTAAAGCTGTGTAGGAATACTGGCAATTGTACAAGGACCTTTTTTAAAAAAAAAACCCGAGTGATCAGATAAAATGCTTACATGACGAAAGAGGCTGGAAATTTCACTGGAATCAATAGGACAAATAATACTTGTTAATTGGTTTAAAGTAAGTTGTGGATAAATGTACTGACGTGTCAACTAATTTAGAAGTGGAATTTAGCTGTGAGAAGAAATAGATACATTGATTGAATTGATCTCTAAAAAAATTGCGCTAGGCAGGTTGGGATGAATTGATCCTGTTCTTAACTGATTAAAATTCCAGGGGTACAGAGTTCTAAGACAGAAAGAATGGCACATCAGTTGAAAATAACTAAATAACTAAATAACTAAATAACTAAATAACTAACTAAATAAATAAATAAATAAATTGCAATCACGCCTTGCACTGGAATGATAAACCTATTATAGACAGATTCCACTGGTGTAAAAAAAGGAAGAGGCATCCCATACCTGTCTTCCAGAATCTATTTTGGCCCTCGTTATCTAACAAAAACAGATGCATCCCTCTCCATATAGGCAACAAGCACTACAAAATATAATTTCCTTAAGTTCATCTCTTATCTCTTGAGTTGTTTGCCTGGAAGTGAAATGTCTTCAAACAGTTATCAATTTATTTGGTATCAAATAGCTCAAGAACCTCAGTTTGCCACGTTGGACATAACACTCCAAGTGCTAAACAAGCAGTTGGAGGATTATGAGATCGATAAATAGCAAAAATTTTCCAGGCTCTGATAAATTGTTCCTGGTTTAAGATCCAGATTGACAAGTCAACATTAAAGTACAGATTTTTCAGGCTGTAACAAAGCCCTGCATTCTGATCCTGCTGAGGAGACTCCTCCAAAGCCAAGCTGCCACCATGCTGATTAGCTGGAGTAAATATATACAGTATCTTGCATTTTGCCTTCAAATACACACCCCAAACTTAATCCCTTTTTCAAAACAGCCCTTCTAGTTTCAAGAGGCCAGCTCTGCTTTGATGTAAAGTTTAGGTTCAAAAAGAAGATGACTCTTACAGAGACTAAGTAATTTTTTCATTTGTCTACTATAACCGTTGACATCAGAAGCAAAACATACATTACTGCTCAATACAATAGTCAATCGAGACAAAAAGGCTTCCTTCTACTGAGCCCAACATTTTTTTAAAAGCCTGTTCATTTTGGTTTCATATACTCTCTGTGTTATTTGTAGTTTTCCTTTGCTTTCCTCCTTTTCTTACCAAACAATTCCTTTGTAATGACATTCAGCTAACACTGCTTTAAAAGGGAATTTTTCAACAAACCTTCCCCATGGGGAGGAATGAATCATTGTAAGTTACAGCTCATGTTTCTAGGACTTTCTCAATACTTTTTTTAAACTTCCAGCAAGAAAAATCTAAGCTGGCTTCTTAAAAAATTGCTTATTACTACTGAGCTAGAAGGAGGTTTTCTTGCAACAAGTGCTCAAAATCTCACCAAAGTTGTTGGAAAAACTAGAAGGTGTTAGGAGATTTATCCTGACTTAAGGCAGCCTAATGAGAATTCGGCCTTGGAGAACACCTTTGGAAAAGGGATTCATCAGTAGAAAAAGTCAACCCCATTCCCAAAAATGTTACGCAGAACTAATGGAGTAGTTAGTTTTAAAGAAACTAGCATCCTGTCCAGAAGTTAGCAAATCTGATGTTCTTAACATGCTTGGAGGAAGCAGTTCTACCTCCACTCCCTCCATACCTGGTTGTTTCATTCAATCACAATTGATTTGTGAGAAGAGAGATTCCTGTCCTTCCAGCTCCTTCTTTTTCAGGACCAGGAAGAAGGTGAATAATGCAAAACAAAAAAAAGCAAACTTACTTGGCATCTTTTCACCAAGAAGATGAAGTATTTCCAGCACTGACCAATGAATGTCTAGGTGAAGATGCAACAAATGCCACGATGGGGGGAATAACTGCAATTAGAATGGAAAAAGCATTGGTTACATAAAAAATGACAGCGTTGTAAAATAATCTTCCTTCTGATGTTGAAAATGGCAATACTGTAAAATGATCTTCACTGTTTTTCATTTTGGTGCATGCTTTTTAAAAAATCATATCAAAATATAATAGATGTATTCTTCAGTAACCATCCCAAAGAATAGGTTTCCAAGCATGATCAGATCAGAGGTAACAACTGGAATCATCCTCAGCATGGTATTGGCCTTTCTAGATGGAAGGTGGGCATCAATTGACTGTTTGGAAGGGAGAATTCCCCCTATATCTGCTCTATTTCTCAGTCCAGTTTTCTGTTGGTCTTTTCATATACATCAAAGACAGTCCAGAACGGACTGCAGGTAGTAGGCAAACGGCCAGGTAGATGAAGCTACTTGCATTCCATACCTCTCAAAGCCAACTGGATGCTGGCTTCGAGACTTTGTATAAAACCAGGTGCCACTCAAGGGTGTGACCCACACTACCACTCCAGATGATGGGATTTTGAGAGGCGGCATCCTCTGGATCTTGCACTGGCCAAGCCAGGTTTGGCTACATACTACAAGTTCCCTCCCCTGACCTAATGGAGAAGTTTAGGGTACATCACCTCTTGGATAAAGGCATTATATTAGTGAGACACCCACAACGTTCCTTTCTTGGTGATCTGACAAGCAATACCTTACTGAAAACACAGGTATGTAATGCTACCACTTACAATATGGAACCTTTCTCTAACTATGCCAATTACAGAAGTCAAAAAAGAAATGAAGAAGAGTCAAAACCTTTGCTTGAGGGAGAATGGTAAATCCTCCTAGAATACAACTAGGGAGTTCATTCAAACGTCCTACATGCAGAGTCAACGAGTGGAGTTCCTCAACAAGCAAAGAAGGAAGCTGTGCTTCTTGTTTCTCATATGGATGGAGCAATGCTGCCTCTTCCTCCTCCATTTTGTGTGGTTCCAGATACCTGAATAAACACAATATTGTGCAACATCATACAACAGTAAATGTATAGAATAAATGGAAGGAGGGTTCTGCCCGACATCTCACCTGAAGATGAAAACTTTCACATATTGCAAGAACTCAATACACTGCTGTTTAATATTATGGGCCTCCCAGTGAAGGCTTGCAGCCTGACCTGGAAAGAAGACACAAATTGTTTAATTCATCATATACTGAACTTACACGACTACAGTTTCACCTGCTTGAATATACCTCCTGGGAGAGGACCTAGCCAAGGTCACCAAGAGCATGTACGGCTAATGGGCCTATGTGTCCTGACACCTGTGTAGCCTTAGGTGAGCTGCACAGTCCCAGAGCATCACCAGAAGGAGGGACTGGTGAACCACTTCTGCAAAGTTTGTACAGTGGTGCCTCACATAACAAGCACACCGTTTAACGACGAATCCGCATAGCGATGCGGATTTTGCGATCAAAAAAGTGATCGCATTGCGATGTTTGAATAGGCAAAACATCGCATTGCATCGCTTACCGATCTTCGCATTGCGATGTTTTAAAACAGCTGATCGGCGGTTCCAAAATGGCCGCTGGATCAACAAAATGGCCGCCCGCAGCGTTTTCGCGCCGATTCCTCGCTTACAGAGGCGGCAGAAATGGTGGCCGTATGGGGGATCTTCGCATAATGGTGAGTTTTGTCCCCATAGGAATGCATTAAACTCCGTTTACTGCATTCCTATGGGGTTTTTTTGCCCCGTATATCGACTTTTCCGGATAGTGACGATTTATCCAGAACGGATTAACGTCGCTATGCAGGGCACCACTGTATCTGGAAAGCCTAGAGGGTCACTTGATGGCACACAGTTATTATTATTATATAGTTATGAAGTGAATTTTACAGCAACATCTGAACAAACAACACATATCTATGATTCTGACACATATCTTTATGCTTGCTTCTAAGATACAGCTGCAGTCACTCATGGGGGAAACAAGTGTGCACATTCATGACATACCACACAAAAGTCTTGGATGCCTGAATATGGTTGTGGGTTATGTATATACCAGGGCATTCCTCTATAAAAATTAGTGGGAGAATTATTGGGAGATGATCCTTCAAAATGGACTGTTCCATTTGGGCTAATGTGCTTAAATTAATCCATCTTGAACAAGAAAGGAAATATGTTTCCTAAATCAGTTCGGCAGCAACCTTTTCATCAGCCATACAAGTTAATCAATACTGTTTTCCTTCATGTTGTGGATAATGGGCTCCCAATGAACTAAAAGATTAACGTACTGAATTAATTTTAATTAATTTTAATTAAACAGTATCCTTTAGCTGGCCATATGAGCAGCAGGATTTATTAATATTAACGTTTTAATGACTGTTTTTTATATAGGATATTATTATAATATAGCCTAGTTTTAATGGTTTTAAAGTTTTAATATTGTTGTACGCTGCTCAGAGACCATTGGTAATGGTGTGGCTAAAAAATATCTTGTAAATAAATAAATTAAATCTAAAAGTGCAACAGTAGCATGGAGAAAACCAACCAATCAATGTGCTGGACAGATGGGGACTAACAGTTCAACAAGCTGCATTTGATGAAGTACTTCTTCTCATAGCCTGTAGTTAATACACGGGATTCACTGCAGCAACATGATGATTGCCAACACAGATGGTTTTAAAAGGTGACTAGAGAAATTCCTAGCATCTGGGCCCATCAATAGCTATTAGTCAGGATGATTGTGCATCTCCTTGGTATCATACAGGCTGTGCACCTCAGAATGTCAGCTTCTGGGAAACACAAGATAGTGGGTACAGCTGCACTCAAGCACAGCTTGCAGACTTCCCACAGGCAATGGACTGGTCACTGCGAAGAAGATGCTGGGTCAGATCCTGACTGATCCAATATGGCTCTTATGTTCTTACTTGGGCTGGAGTTCGTAACAGCTTATGCCAAATAAAATTTACCACTCTGTTACAATGCCACAGAAGTTCCACTTGTTTAATATATCTCTCCTGAAGAAACTGTATATAATGAATTAAAGTAAAAGAAACATATGCCATCATTCAGAAATAACACTGCTGACATTTAGCTATTCAGATGGCAAATTTCAAAACAGTTGCTGAAAAAATTAACAAATTTAGGGGATAATGAATTAATTTTTAACAAATTATTCTAAAGTGTTAGACAGGACTTTCACAAAATAATAATAAAAGGAGAGCCCCACTGGAGTTGGCCAAAGAAATCCATCCTTTTCCCTATTGTGGAAGTCTAACCTAACGTTTGACCTCCCAACAGCTGGTGTTTAGATTAATTGCCTCTCGGCTTCAAAGCATAATTTTCTTCCCTCCCTTATAAAGTCCATAACATAAGAACTGCTTGGTTGATTCAGACTAGAGCTTGGAATGTAACTTTTCAGACTAGAATCTGCAGATTCCCATTACCGTTGCTGTCACTTACCAGAACCTCGGGAGATGTAGTCCAAAAAAGCAGCACTTGCAAATCCTGATTCAGACCCAAGTGATTCTAATCTGACACGCTGCTTCCTACCTTCTACCATAAGCAAATAAATTTGCAAACTGGTGCTTGCCAGCAACTGCTGTCTTTGAGTCTGAAGGATCCAGCCAGCCTCCAGTGAGCATAACTATGTCAGATCCTCCTTTTAATCTGTGCTTCTGTTTAGGGGATCCTGAAGTCTTCCGCAGCACCCTTGCTTGGTCCTTAACGTTTGTGGGAAACTTCACCCTAACCTGTGAAAGTGTACTCTTTTGCATCAGTACTCTGTGACTGTTCCTGCATGCCCACTTCTCTACCCAAGTGCTTACATCTCTTTTTTTCATGTTCACTCTAGAACAAAGATGGAGGCCTTGTTCTTCCACTAATCAAGTAGTCCTAATTTCTCTCCTCCCTCACCCCAGCCACCCAATCCACTTATGAAGCTCTACTGGAGCCTAACCAGCCTGCCCCTGCCTCCCCAGGCAGCTGACCACTCCTTGGCTGCCTGGGGAAACTCTCCCTCTTGCCTTCCTGCTGGAGTGGTTGACTGCGTGGGGAGGTGGGGATGGGCAAGTCGGGCTCCAGCACTGCTTGTTGCGCTGCCGACACAGAAGGCCTGTGGAACCTGGTAAGTGGATCAGGTGGCAGGGGGGAAAGGAGGAGTGTAATTAGGAACAGCTGTGCAGCAGCCCTTCGTTTTTGTACAAAGCACAAAGCCCCCATCTCTACTCTAGAACATTACTGCCACGACAAGGCAGCAATCCATGAAGAAGGGGACTACCCACTGTAGCAAAGGGAATTAATCATCATTTGTTACAGTGTTCAGAAAGTAACTTGTGTTACTTGTGGCAATGGTCTTTGTTTAAATAATGGTAAAAGAACAAAGTAATTCATTACAGGTACAGTACAGTAACTGTATTACTTGTGATTTATTACTTCAAGCTCCCGTCCATTAGCTAGTGACATCTGAAAAATTTACAATGATAGAGTGTAGTTCTTCAGGTTTCTCCAGTTTCAAGGCCCCAAATCTTGGGGTCTATCCTTGGAAAATCAGGAAAAACTTCCTAACTGTTTGAGCAGTACAACAATGGAAACAATTATGGAACTAATGGTGAGTGATCCAATGCTGGAGGCATTCAGGAGAAAACTAGGCAGCCATCTATCAGATACACCTTGATTTGGATTCCTGCACTAAGCAGAGGGTTGGGCTCAATGGCTTTATAGACCCCTTCCAACTCTATTATTCTATGATTCTAGCTACTTTTTATAAATAATATTGTGAGCTCTAAAACTGCCCCCATCTAGCATAAAAGTTCTGTATGCCCACAAAAACCTTGGAAGCTTTGGAACATGTCACATACCTAAAGACAGAGGTATCAGCCAGGTTGATGTGTGGGTTTTCTCCATGTCATGGTAGCACTTTCGGGATGTGCAGTGAGGGATTCCAAACAGGCAAACCACAAAACATGTTATTTATAAGTACTCTTAAAATGATCGTGCTTTGTGGCTTGCCTGTGCAGAATGTAGGACTTTTACTAAGGCAATTAGCAATGCTCTTTAGCTTATCCAGGAAACATAAAGTGATAAAAACACTAACAAGCTTTTGTCATTATTTAATAATACTAACAAGCATTGTTAAAACAACTAGTGTTTGAAGGCCAGAAACAGCTGCCATTTTCTACTTCGTACCAGGCTTTTGCTACTGCTATATGTGCACCAGATTATTTTTAAAAGACTAGCAATTTTTAGAAAGGCTCTTTTGTAAAAAGTTTCACATGTTCAACACAGTGCACCAAAAAAAGTTATTCAATATTTATGGCTGACCCCATTTTAAGCATTAAAGGTACTTAGAAATAATGCATAATTGTGATGCTTCACTGCAAGACACTGTACGATATGAATATTGTGTAAACTTACCAAAGTCATTTGACTGAACAAGGTTTTCCAGTTTGTATATATGCTGCCTATCCAAGACAGAAAGAGACAAAGATGTTCTTCAAAACATAATCATACAACCAGCAAAATCTTGATTTGAAACACACGTTTTTACAGAAATAAATAAGTAGCCTCAGTATTTGGGAAGAAAACCAGTCAACAGCTGAAACCAAAAGGACTGGAACACTATTGGAGGTGGGCACAGCATGAGGAAATAACAGAAAGGTGAGAGGTGCTGTTTTGGGCCTTTCTTCCAACAGAACTGGATCCTAATACTTCCCAAAACAGAAGTAATCCTCTCACTTTGCAAAGGGATACATTTGGCTCTGTCTCAACAGCTTCACCTAGAGTTTCTTTAAGTCATTGAGCTTTGGCAGATTCTCCCAAGATTATTCAACTGACTTGCTATATAGCAGGAAACAGCATACTCATCACCAAAAGGTTAAGCAACTTTTTGTAACCAGGCTGCAACATAGCCTGAATCTTCAGCTTTATTCAAACAAATTGACAGCTACAGCTAATCACACAGAACAGGTGTAAGGTGCCTTTTACAGGAAATGCCAGTTAATAAGCAGACATATCCATTCTGCAGTAGATGCAATTTTCAAATGTCAAACTATTCCGAAATGAAACCTCATCTAATAGTAATGCAGATGCTAAACAGATAGCCTCGGTGAAGACTAGTACTTAAAGGAATGATGATTCCACGTTGGGGCAAATACAGTATAATGAAGTGAACCTCATCCACAAGCATCCAATAAACCGTAGGTCGTATTATTTGAAATGAACCACCAGTCAGAATATTTCAAGAACTGGGGGCCAATGCAAACCCCATCATGCTGGTTCACCACTGCTGTGATTTATGTAGTTTAGTTGCAAACAGCTGGGAGCCACAGCTTCGGCGGAACTCCATGTCACCTGAAGACCTGTCTCTCAAAAATCCATAACATGTAATATGAATGCAGACCATACACAGAAAACGGCGAAAAGGTACGTATAGAGCAGGAAGAAACTCTTATTAAGCTGACCAGAGAATTCTCCCATAAAAATATCTTCCTCTCCCTGGATATATTTTTTCCTCAATGTTCAGAAGCACTTAAGTACTGGTACACAATTTAAGAAGACAGAATCTTATTCTTTTCATGGCACTCGTAACAGAAAGGTGAATATTCTCATGCTTAAGTGCTAGGAACCTGCAAAGTATGCATAGGTAGAAGGAGGCCGAGCTGGAGAGGAAAAGACAGACATAGCAACGGCAAGATGAACAGTTAACAAAAGATAACCTAGTCACTTGGTGGGAGTCAATAATCCTTTGCCACCCCCTTCCTGGTAGGTGAAGAGGTAAACACAGAAGCATACCCAAAAAGCAGTATGTTACACTACAGCACAAGGAAGGCAGAAGCCAAGGCAAGGGAGAAGCATTGTGTTTCTTAATATGTGCAGCAAGGGGCCACATCACTCCTCCTTCACATTTACTCTGCTACATGAACTCCCATTCTCATTTTCTCTCCCTCTCTTGCTCGCACACACACGTTAAAAACAGAGAAGTAGTGATGGTGAAATATGAAGGACGGTGAGTCTCGCAGATCAGTGTCTACCTTGTCTTTACTACCTGGAGCATCCACCTTAACTGTGCAAGCAATATGGCCAGAAGTACTATTATGGGCTTGGAAGAAGTAGAAGAACAAGACTGAGGGAAACAAGGACACAATGTGAACTTTTAAAAAAATGACTAGAATGGAAATGACATATAAATATTTAAATACTGTGTTTTGATGATGTAAGCTGCCCTGAGTCCTTTTTAAGGAGAAAAGCAGGGTGAAAATATTTTAAATAAATAAATGCTGAGAATGGATACTTCACTGATGCCTGGCTACTTCCCACCCTCAACCCTGTTCTTTTCCCATCAGAACATGAACACAAATATAGTTAGACCTGTCTAATATAATACCAACTGCATTTCTTTTATTTGGCCATTGTCTGTCTGCAGTGCTACTTAACAGAGGAGGTGACATATTCCCACTGATAAGTTTCTTTTGAATAGATTTCCACTCAGATGGGGCAGTACTGAGCTGTTGTTGTGTTTGTGGACACGCAAAGAAACCTGCAGTGACTATGGCAAAATGTGGTCATCTTCCACTGATCAAAGAAAGAAACTGTAAGAGTGCAATGCTAAGCTCTCTTCCAAGAAAGTTCTACAAAACACAGCAGGAGTTGGTATTCGGTAAGGCAACACGCATGTCGAACACGACTAAACAACTAAACAACAACAACAAAGGCAACACGCATAAGATCTGACCATGCTTCTCATGGGGCTTGTTTGACACAAAACACACTTCAAAATATTATTGCAAAACCTACTACAATAACAGAAGGTGTTATATGCATGAAAAGCCTTGTCAAACACATCCAATCTCTTCCACAGAAATGGCACTCATTTTGAAGATGGACTGTAATTTGGAGCTGTATAGCAATCACACTATTTTTAAAGGCAGCAAAAATCGTACCTAAGTAATCCAAAGAGAAGTGTGCATGACTCAACTAAAGCAGTTTCATTAACCCACTGAAATCCAAATAATTCCACGGTGTCCTCTTCGTAATCAGTTGGAAAGGGATCTAGACCCAACAAAATCCTGAAAAACAAATCCATTGTTATACAGCTTACTGGAAGGGTGCTGCGTGCGTGCACGCACACACAGAGTATACATATAACACCCAAACTTTGGGCTACTAGTACTCTGCCAACATATCATAAACTTTGCCATTTGGTTTCACTGCGAGCAGCAATGTACTGCCTGATGAGCTGCACATGTACACATGTTCAACACAGTATAGCACTGGATGATTATAAATCTAATTTAATACAACTAATCATTTAGTTGTTGACAAAAACAAAGCTGATTACTTTGATGCCAGTGGTTAGCTATAAAATGTGACTGGCTGGGGCTGAGAAACTGAGCTTGGAAATGTGAGAAAGCACATCATCTGACATCCATCCCATCCCTCAGTCTTGGTTCACATCTAAGGAGTGTTATATATTTGCAATGCCTGGGGAAATTCCATGGCACAATTCATACACTGTTAACGTGCTCCACAGGGATAATATACTATGAACATACGAATCAAATAGGTCACCAAGAGATTTCACAATGATTTATTGACACTGCTACTACATTTCAATTGAGTCACTACCAACGTTCCCTCTAATTTTTCAGAAAACTGTGTGGAGGCTCTGTCCCTGTGTGGGAAATTCCAGCCCCAACTGGAAACAAATGGGTGAAAACACCGGCTCAGCTGCGTGTGCCCAAAGCACAGCTGTGTGCCCACACACTATAGACCAGGGAACATTGGTCACTACCACTGGCCCCAGAATCAGCATGTGGATACATTTTCAGTGCACCAATCCTGTCCAATAGTTCCACATACCTCTTAAAAGACCCACTTGCTAAATAAGAATCAGAAGAGAAGCTTTTTCCTCCACCTGTAAGCTCTGACACACAGGAGAAGCTGAGAAATCTGGAGGGCTGCCTGTCCACTTCCATACCAATCTCCAAGCTGTCAGAGAAGGATGAAGGCATCAAGGGAACAGTGAAATCAGCATCCATTTTCTGTGGTTTCCCCCTGAAATGACACAGTACAACCTTTTAAACGTGTTCAGCGGTGTTTTTTTTTTAAAAAAAAAAATAATGTAGCTGACAGAATTCTATCTTGTTCATCAATATTATTACAGTTCCCCAATTCCTAGCATGCATGACAACTGGCCAAAGAGAGTAGGGGATTCTGCCAGTTGCTACAGTACTCAGTCATCTTCCAAGGTGTGATTGAGCCAAACACACTCCTTAAAAGGACTTGATATTACAGGAAAAAGAACATTAATAGCAGTATGTTTTCTAATCACTTCAGCATCTCACTGTACAGAAATCCTTAAGCTACAAACTTCTTACTCATTCTATTTTTTTAGAGATGATACCAAACCATGGTTAGGTGAAACAAGTATGTATATAGCTCAGTGGCTTATTTATCTGTTTATTATTTCCTCAATGGAGACTCCAAAATGGCTAACAAGATGAATTAAAAGCAGATAAAGCGAAGACCACATTAAGCAATAATATTAAAACACAAATGAATAAGCTATCCTATTAAAAATAAAGAGTGGATGAAGACAAATTAACAAGCATTAAAACACAGGAGAAATAGTTAAAATACCTTTCCTGAACAACCAGTTCATAAAGAGGTTGGATAAGCAAACAAATTCCAAAAATATGGAAGACAAAAGTAATCACTATACGTACTGAAACCAGGCAAAGAACCATCAGATCCCAAAGCTACAGGCCAATCTCCTTACGGCCATCTATACGAAGTGCTTAAACTAATGGTTGTTGGGTTCAGGCAATGAGCAGGCTGATGGGCTTTGTGGTGATCACCAGATAATGGATAATAGGACAGCAAAGAGTCTCTTAGCAATAAAGTCAGCCACGCACACAGATGGATGTCTGCTAGCAGTACTCCTGGTGGGCAACTCAGCAAGGAAGCAGAATGAGAAGTCTTCTCTGTTCTCTCTCTCTCTCTCTCTCCTGTCCATCGCTTCTCTCTGCCTTGCCCCCAGGAGACTGTCCTTTTATTAACATTACAAGGTCACAGACAGTGACAGCATTACAGATACAGTGGTGCCTCGCAGAGCGAGGTTAATCCGTTCCGGATTAACCTTCGCTATAGCGAAACATCTCTAAATGGAAATAAAAAAGCCAAAGTTCCTATGGCTTTAAAACTCACCGTTAAGCGATCTTCCTCCATAGCGCCGCCATTTTCGCGCCCTCGGTAAACGAGGGCAGGGCGCGTCTTAAGTCAAGACCCCACTGTAATAGGATAGCAAAGTCTCTTAGCAATAAAGTCAGCCACGCACACAGATGGATGTCTGCCAGCAGTACTCCTGGTGGGCGACTCAGCAAGGAAGTAGAATGAGAAGTCTTCTCCGTTCTCTCTCTCTCTCTCTTGTCCATGTCTTCTCTCTGCCCTGCCCCCAAGAGACTGTCCTTTTATTAACATTACAAGGTCACAGGTAGTGACAGCATTACAGATAGTAGACAGGGTTCAGATAGGACAATGGTTACATCATGTTACTAGGGTTGGTCTGGGGAAAGGCAATTAATCAAGCCCTCTGATTGGCCTAAGGAAAGGCCTCTATGGCAAGCTCTCTATGATAATGAGAAGGAGGGAGAATGATGGCAGCTCCTCCCCTCAGAAGCAGCCACAGGATGCTAGGAGAGTTTTCTCTACACTATAACACCCATGTGGCTTAGCAACCTTAGGAACGGCACCCCCACAAATGGTATTAAATCATCCAGCCCAAAGATTCTCCGGTCCGCAGCCCCCGATGTCCTCACAGGGGGTCTGCGAAGACTTCAAGAAACCTTATGACCTTTCGCAGTTAAAACAGAAAGGAAAGGAAAAAAAATCTTAAATCCCCTTGCTTGTTTGTATAAATCTGGGTCTGCGAAGACTTCAAGAAACCTTATGGCCTTTCACAGTTAAAACAGAATGGAAAGGAAAGGAAAAACAAAATCTTAAATCCCCTTGCTTATTTGTATGAATCTTGACTTTTCTAAACTAGCGCCTCAATTAAAAACAAACAAAAGTAAAAATGGGTTATGAAAACAACTGACAGCAAATCACTGTTTGATATTTCTGCACACAGTGAGAACATGCAAGTAAATGACACTGAGTAGCTGAGAAACAGCACGTGATATTTCTTGCTACTGCAGAGACAGTCAGAAGCCGTGAGAAGAGTCAGTCGGTGTCAGCGTGAATGAGTGTTCGAATGGACTTCATGATCCTGTTTGGTTATTGTCAGGTAAAGTGACATTTTGATATTGCAGTGAATTTCATAACTGTACATTTTAGATGAGCATCAGAATGGCTCACTGGATGAATGTGAAACATAAAAGAACTGAAGCTGTTGACGAGGGTGCATCCTGTCCAAACCAAAATGAAGCTTCTTCCAGTCATCCTAAAAAGTGTCATTGTTATAGCAAGGAATATCTGTTGATGAGACCCTTCATGAGAAACCTTAAATAAATATTTGATACATGTTAGGGTTTTAAATCTTGAGTTAAGTCTTGGTGGTCTGCAGCAACAAGATATATTTAAAGGAGGTCTGTCTGGTCTAGTCCCCAACACTAAAATTCTTCAAATCCCAGAACAGGCAGGCAGTAGACCTAGCAAGACCTGTACTGCTCAAACCTTAAAACTAATCCAGCATACAGAATAGTTTTGAAACACATGAAATAACTGAAACAGCATCTGTCAGCCTTACATTGGCATATGATACTGTCCACCATCAACTGCTGCTCAAAAAGCTCTACCCCTTCAGTAAAGATCATGCACTAGCAGGAATGGTTACCATTCTGCTTCAAAACTAAAGATTCTTTCTTGAATGTCAAGGAGGCACAGTCACTGAAGAAATCAAAGGTATAGTTTCCCTCAGGGTAGTACCCTGGCACCATTACTTTTTAACCTTATACAAATAATCAACAGAGGTTTTCATACTCCAGGAGCTTTATCTATGCTAATGATCTCACCTTGGCAGTCCAGGAGGAAATTTTTGAGGTCATCAAGCACCAGCTAACCTCTCCATTAGATCTTTCCTTATATTATGAAAACAATCAGCTGAAACCAAACTTTTTAAAAACATTGGTCCCTGCATTCCACTTAGAGATCAGTAAAACAGTCAGCTAGGAAGGCAAAATATTAAAACACTGCTCTATCCCAAAGTACTTGGACATCACTCTGCATCAAGCTTTGACCTAAAAAAACATGGTCTAAAACTCAAGAAGTAAGTTGTTGCTAGAAACAACTTGCTTAGGAAATTGGCTGGGTCAGACTGGGGTGCAGACCCACAAACAGTAAGCACAAGAAATTTGTCCCTGTGCTGTTCCACAGCAGAATATGCTAGTGCTGTGTGGTATAAATCAGCACATGTCAAACAAGTGGATGTAGTCGCGAAGGCTTTCACGGCCGGGATCTAATGGTTGTTGTGGATTTTTCGGGCTCTTTGGCTGTGTTCTGAAGGTTGTTCTTCCTAACGTTTCGCCAGTCTCTGTGGACGGCATCTTCAGAGGACAGCACTCTGTGGATCAAGAATGCAAGCTTCCCAGGCCCAGAAGTACAAGTTTAAGGCCACTTACCGGTATGTGGCAGTTTATTCTCCTGAACATAAATGAGATTTATCTTCCCAGAGAATGTGTTCAATATTAACCAGCAGAATATTTTTGGGGAAAAGGGGGTTTGGTCCAGCATTGATAGGCAAACTGCCACATTTTCTGAACAATTGACAATAAAACCAATGCCAAATCTTTTGTTCCACAGTATCCTTTTATCCAGCTTTACCCAGCACTAGAACAACATTAATATGTACATTAAGTTCCCTTCCACCCACCCATACTGACCTGTATAGAGATCTACTAACTTATGATATTGCCCAGTCTTCTAAATTATAATGGTTTCCATTATCATGCTGCTCCTGTTCACCAAACAGTGTATCACGACACGGGTACACACCAATTTTCTTTGCCCATTTCTTGTTATATAGACAAATAAATAAATAAATACACAAAAGGCAAAGATCCACCTTTGGCCTTATTAAATTCCGCTTAATAAGGCCGAAGGGACTTTGGCTCCAGAATCAGAAGACCTAACTTGCATAATAAAAATATTTAATATCCGTTGAGTAGGAAAAGCGGAGCATTTTAGGTCAGTGCAGAACACCAGTGTTATTACAAAATAGTAACGTGAAGGAATCGGAGCTGGAAATCTCATCATAGAGAGCCTATGTAGTGTACTGTATTTGAAAGAGTAATCTGTGTTCAAATAACCACTCTACCAGGTGTGTACGTGGCAATGGTAAACCAGTCCTTCAACATCTCGCTGTTGTTATGTGCTGTCAAGTCACATCAACATTTAGACGCCCCTAGTAAGGTTTCCGAGGTATATACGATATTTAAGACGTGGTTTTACCACTGCCAACCCACAGAGACTTTCCATCGTCTAGCGGGAATTTGAACTCAAGTCTCCCAGACCGTACTTCAGCTCCTGCACTGGACTGCCACCTCAAGCATCTCGAAAACCCTCTTCGACTCCCCATAATTTGGAATCAGCTTGAGAACGCCTAACACGCATACTCGCCGCCAGCAGAGGAAAACAGCACTTGCAGAAAAAGCAAGCATAGGGCTGTGCCTTAAAGAACACGCACGAGTCTTACAAAATCCCGAAATCAAAGTGAGCACAAGCAGGTCATCCCCCCTCCCTCCTTCCCTCTTCTGCCACACTCACCTACAAGCAAGCATACACTCACCAGCACCCACCCTTTTCACACGACCCCACTTCTTCCCACGAACTCCCAGAAATAATCCACTTCCTCTCCTCCGTAACTCCCGCGCACACCGAGCACGGACCGACTGCGCGTGCTCCGACGGTGATCGGCGGTGACGTAACGTTTTCTTACAGGACAGAGGAGTCCGGGAGTCTCCTGGAAGCCCTGCCCGCTTTTGCGCGTTTAGGGGCGGATCGCGTGTGTGGATGCGTGTTTCCCGCCTGTGATCCCGCCGTTCAAGTCAGGGGTTGTGTTTAAAGCGGAAGAAGGGAGGATTTGAGTTTCTTGGCCGTGCGAGTCCCTTCTTTTAGTAATCCTCGCCTTCGGAGTGGATTTAAGATGACAACTTTTAATGTAAAGTTGTCGTCTTTAAACCCGCTTAGAAGAACGGCCTGTTCTTTACTTTGGTGTCCAATAAAGCTTCAAAACTCACTCGTGACAGGGCGTCCAGTCAGGAGTCGGGGGGGGGGGCACATGTAAAAGAGGTCAGAGCTCCTGCGCCTTTGAAAACTGTAGAAAAGGGAATTGCAACAGATTAGTTTATCATAGAAGCAATACCTGCTGAATTTTCCCCTTCCACACAGGTGGAAGGCACAGGAGCCCAGTCCTCTGTTTCCTGTGGCCACCTATTTAGAAGTACTGTACATCCCAGTGATTTGAACTTGTTTCACTCCCAGCTAGTAGAAATACCTGGTTCTGTGCCCCAGCTGTATCTATTCAAAATAGAATATTTGTGTGCTGAATAGTGTTTATGCATGATAAGTATGCAGGATGGGCAGTTTTATGCACACTTAAGAAAAGAAAAAGGTACATCAAACACACTGGGACTTCCTTCTGTATAAATATGCACAGACTGCCTCAGCAACATCAGTCATATGCTGTGGGCTAAACTGCAGAAGCCTGTGCTGCAGGGTCAGATGACCAAGCAGTCGTAAGATCGAATCCACGTGACGGAGTGAGCGTCCGTCGCTTGTCCCAGCTCCCGCCAACCTAGCGGTTCGAAAGCATGCAAATGCAAGTAGATCAATAGGGACCACTTTGGTGGGAAGGTAACAGCGTTCTGTGTCTAAGTCGCACTGGCCATGTGACCACGGAAGATTGTCTTCGGACAAAACGCTGGCTCTATGGCTTGGAAACAGGGATGAGCACTGGCCCCTAGAGTCGGACACGACTGGACAAAAATTGTCAAGGGGACCCTTTACCTTTTTACCTTGGGCCTCAGCGTAATCTCTTCCACCACTATCCGCTGGAGACCTCTCAAGGCATAAAAGTGTAGTGGGATTGGTGAAGGTGTATCTTATTGTGATGCAGAGAAGGGGGGGGCTGCATTTCACAAACTTCCATGGTCCATTTTCTCATGGGGGCATGGGAACTGCTGGATAGCTCTATGGTTAAGCTCAATGGAGCCAGCAATTGGGAGTTCACTGTGCCTCCTTGACAGGGGCTGGATTTAGGTCATCCGTAGTGTTCCTTCTAAGATTATTATTAATATATGGCTCCTGTTTTTGGACTGCAACTACCACATCACACCTTCTCACTGTTAACTATGATGGCTGGGCTGTTGCCATGGTATCTCATGGACCAAGAGAAGGTGGAGGTTGCTTCATCCCTATATTTGAGCTGTACAGTACTTCCTGGCTCTGATCACAAGAAGCCTATCAGCTAACAGAAGTTATAGGTCGCAACTGATGGTGTGCCCAGTTCCACCATGATGTAGAAGTCTTGTTTTTGGTGTCCCTTACAACTATTTAATAGGTGAGCTTTCTTAGCGTACAAATGCTTATGATGGGATGTTACTCTTGTGAATGGTTGCATACCATACTGAACAGATGCTTTATATGGACAATAACTTTATTTCATGTGGCCACCTGACTCCTGACTGAAGACTTTTACATGAATGAGTTTTGAATTTGTGGAATCTGTTTCTGAAACCAGAAGCCAGTTCTTTTCTCAGAGAAATATATTCTGCAAAAGCAGTATTTAATTATGACTTTGACATTATTATGTAGTATCATTGCTACCAATTATGGCTGGGATACTGTTCTTAATTACAATTCATTGCACTAGTGGCCTGCCGCTTTCAGAGTTTGCCTGAGAAACTATCTTACATCTCCTTGTACAAGCAGAAGCCTTGTTTAAATGGGCACTCTCCACACCCCTGTGGAGTTCAAAATCTATGTATAACTCTTATGCCTCCAGAAATATAGCTGAAAAGCACAAACAGTTGATTAACACACACACACAAACAAAACACGTGTGTGTGCGCACACACACACACACAACAGATGAGTTTACTGTATTAACTGTACAGCATACTTCAGCACTCTCCCCAGCTGCCATGTGGAGCCATCATATTACAAGACAGGGACTAGCTGGGCCACCACCATTTGACAGAGGCCACTTCACTGCCAACAACAGGAGCCTCAGTAAACCCACTTTTCTCGGGCCACCTCTTGGAGATGAATAGCAGCATAGTAGTCGGACACGACTAAACAACAACAGTTTATTGAATATTTGTTTATTTATAGGGATATTTATTTATTTAATGAAAAACCTGTGCTGCTTAAACCTTGTGCAGTTCAAGGGAGAAGTTAATTTTATAACAGTACAATTTTCCTCCCTGTGTTAACTCAGGAGTTCAAAAGCATAGGTAGAGTATTTCCAGGGTCAGGTTATCTCTCCCCCCCCCAATATATGTGATTTAGCATTATTCCAATTCTTGTGGGCGTAAGAATGCACCCAGGTCCTCTGGGAGTAATGACTGGCTATTTGGGGGCACTTCCAGTTGTGCAAAAAAAAAAATCCCTTGGGACTAGATTAGAGCTAGTGCAACAAGGCAGCAATCCATGAAGGGGAGATTAGAGCTAGTATGTTTGTGAAATATCCTGCAATGGCTACTTACTCTCCCCCCAGCCATTCCCAGGCTTCTACAAGGATAACTGGGCAATTGAGAGGCCACAAAAATTACGTGAGGGAGGATCTGGGAAACACACTAGGCAGTGCATGTGTCCCATGGCTGCATTTTGGTTCCTCCTAGTTTTGTAGCACTCCTGGCTAAGAGCTGGAACAATATGTTTTCCCCCCAGTTTGGAATGGACATGAAGTTCAGCAGTTCAGTGATTTTTAGATTCTGTATTTAGTAATTATGAATGTTAAATGAGATAGATTTGTTAGAGAAACTATATATGTCAAAGTTTAAGAATGGTATACAAGTATAACTAAATCAAGTACAAGTTTGTATAACAAGTACCAAAATGTCTAAGCACTGTGAGTTTGGTTGTTGTGGGTTTTTCGGTATGTTTGGCTGTGTTCTGGATCTCGTCAACCATTGGATCCGGGCCGTGAAAGCCTTCGAAAACACAATGTGAGTTTATTCTATTGAGCATATGCTTAAAACCATAAAAGTTCTTCAATGTTTTAAAAGAAGACCAAATGACCATTTTATTTACTTTCAATTTCTGGAATAAGCACACACAAAGAGAGAATACAATTTTTACTCTGAGAGTGCTTTTTAAAATCATAATAATGTACTATACTTGAAAATGCTGTGCACAAACACTGTTAGTTACATTTTTTATTATTTTAAAACCAGTTCAATAGAAGGTTATAGTAGCCCGGATCAACAAGTAAAACTTGCTAACCAAAGCCAGGGCAATTGCATCGCACACTTTTTGACATCTGAGCAGCTGGCATCATTGCCTCTTGGTTTGTGTACCGCCTTTCCTGCAGGATACGTGGTATGTGAGGAGTGTTTACATGCCTTGTGCTGTTAGGACTTGTGCAAGGTTCACCTTCAGCCCCAGGGAGCTCTGTTAGTCCCTATTGCAGATTGCTGCCAAGGTTTGTTTAACATGAAGACTCGCTACACAAAGCGCTGGCATTCAATTTGTGGCCTTGCTAAAAGTGGCATAATGGGCCAAATTCTTGCACCCACCACTTATCAGTTCATTCCCTCTCACTTTGTTGTTGGAGGCACTAGTGTTACACAACACAAATACTTCCCTGGTGAGTCCTGGCACCACCTGAGAATAGGTTAAGATGCATGTCTACTCTAGGGTTTCATGCATGGTTAAAAAAAAACACTACAGAAGTCTGTGGGGTGCACACACCCTTCCTTGGACTTACAAAATGGGCTTTTAAAAACTGGAAAAAATCTCCTTATTCTCACCCTTGGAGAGTACAAGGAGACTTCCTGACCCCTTCAAAATTAAAATATTTTTGGGATGCGGGGCAGGCTGCATGTTGCCCGCCCCTGTTTTAAAGCCTACTCACACAGAAAAAGACAAACTTTCTCCACCTCCAGTCCTATTTATCCAGAGTTACAGTATATCACAGAAGTGAGTACATTCCCTCACATTTCATAAATACAGTATTTTAGTATATCTTTTCATGTGACAACACTGAAGAAATGACACTTGGCTACAATGTAAAGCAGGGAGTATACAGCTTGTATAACAGTGTAAATGTGCTGTCCCCTCAAAATAAGGCAACACACAGCCATTAATCTCTAAACCGCTGGCAACAAAAGTGAGTACACCCCTAAGTGACAATGTCCAAATTGGGCCCAAGTAGCCAATTTTCCCTCCCTGGTGTTATGACACCCATTAGTGTCACAAGTCTCAGGTGTGAAGGGGGAAACAGGTGTTATTGCTCTCACTCTCTCAGACCAGTCACTGGAGGTTCCACATGGCACCTCATGGTAATTAACTATCTGAGGATCTGAAAAACAAAAACAAATTGTTGCTCTACATAAAGATGATCTAGGCCAGTGATGGCGAACCTATGGCCCACGTGCCACAGCTGGCACGTGAAGCCCTTTCTTCTGGCACATGACAAACCTTTTGAAGTGGCTGCAGCTGGGATTCCCCCTTTCTCTTCCAGTTCTGGGTCCTTTAACTTCCTGTTCGTCCCCATGATTCCCCGTTTAACTTCCTGTCCATCCCCATGATTTCCCCTGAAACTGCCACTTCCTGTTCCGGTTTTGGTCTTCTAGGTGGCACAGCAGCCACTGGTTTCTTCCCCACCCCCTCATTTTGGGCACTCGAGCCGAAAAAGGTTTGCCTCCACTGGTCTAGGCTATAAGATTGCCAAAACCCTGAAACTGAGCTGCAGCACGATGGCCAGGACAATACAGCGGTTTAACAGGACAGGCTCCACTCAGAACAGGCCTTGCCATGGGTTTGCTGCAGACAAGCAGACTAAGGACATGGATTTCTGGAACCATGTCCTATGGTCCGATGAGACCAAGATAAACTTATTTGGTTCAGATGGTGTCAAGTTTGTGTGTTGGCACCCAGATGAGGAGTACAAAGACAAGTGTGTTGTGCTTACAGTCAAGCATGGTGGTGGGAGTGTCATGGTCTGGGGCTGCTTGAGTGCTACCAGCACTGAGGAGCTACAGTTCATTGAGGGAACCATGAATGCTAACTGGTACTGTGACATACTAAAGCAGAGCATGATCCCGTCCCTTTGGAGACTGGGCTGCAGGGCAATATTCCAACAGGAAACGACCCCAAACACACCTCCAAAACAACCACTGCCTTGCTAAAGAAGCTGAGGGTAAAGGTGATGGACTGGCCAAACATGTCTCCAGACCTAAACCCTATTGAGCATCTGTGGGGCATCCTGAAAAGGAAGGTGGAGGTGCACAACATCTCTAACATCCACCAGCTCTGTGATGCCCTCATGGAGGAACGGAAGAGGATTCCAGTGGCAACCTGTGAAGCTCTGGTGAATTGTGCCCAAGAGGGTTAAGACAGTGCTGGAAAATAATGGTGGCTACATAAAATATTGACACTGGGCCCAATTTGGTCATTGTCACTTAGGGGTGTACTCACTTTTGTTGCCAGCGGTTTAGAGATTAATGGCTGTGTGTTGCCTTATTTTGAGGGGACAGCACATTTACACTGTTATACATGCTGTGTATTCACTGCTTTACATTGTAGCCACATGTCATTTCTTCAGTGTTGTCACATGAAAAGATATACTAAAATATTTATGAAATGTGAGGGGGGTGTATTCACTTCTGTACATATACTATATGTCCCCATACCTAGAGATCCAAAGCAATTTAGCAATTTGTTTTTTGAAATTTGGCTGGCATCCTAAGACCCGTCATTCCCTGTCCCTTCAGTCTCAGAGAACAAGCCTGATTGAAATTAAGTGGCACTTAATTCTGAGGAAGTATTCATAAGCTAAAAATTCTGTTGCACAGCTACATTTGTGCAACTCAAGGTTGCACGAGTTGTAGTTATGCTAGCGCTGAGGTGGAAGCACTCTTGTGGGCTCATTGGGCAAATGGTTGTGCTGCACATGACTGACTGCTCAATTGAACAGCTCAATTTGTTGTTGGGTATAATGCCTGATTCAGTTATGCCCTTGTAACTTTACGTTATTCTGGTATTAACAAGAGTTTGCCCACAGAATTATGCTGGAAAGATACAAACCTGTGCATCTCACCTGAGAGCAAGTCCCGCTGAATCTTGTGGGATCCACGTACCTTCAAGTAATGGACATGCCGACTACTAAATCAGAACTTTCCCCAAACTGGACAGAGTTTTGTTGCCTAGCCCAAAACTTTGTTTCTATGACTAGGTCACAGGGCTCTTTGTTCATATGTGTGGATTATAAATGCCACAATGAGTTTCTTGGGAAAAGCTCTGTTACCCTAAGAAGGTTTTCCATTATGTTACATTCAGAGAGGATTCCACCTCTTCTCACCACTAGGTAGAACATCTAATTTGTCTATTACTGACATTTTAGCCTAGTTCTTTTTCTATTTTGCCTATGTGAAGACTGACACTAGTTCTGAATTTTTCTATGTATGGCAGAGGGCTTGGTCAAGGGAATTGGTAGATCTTTGGGGTGGGCCGAGCTACCCCCTAATGCATCAGCTTTAGGTCCTGAATCTGGATATGGTGTGAAGGATAGGGATGACTTGGAGACACATAAATTCTCCCCCAGCCAGAAGTTACTGGTACAACAAGATCTTCACCTGCTCCCATCTGTACTATCCATTTAGTCCTCTGCACAGCTTCAGGTGTCAGTGAGACAGATATCTTGTAAAGTGCTCATTTGCAACTTTTTAGTGATATGGTGAAGGTGTTGCTTTACCCAGAACCTTGCTTCTGTGAATGCATCATATGGCTGGTTTTTCTGTGGGGTAACCACGGACAGGTATCTGCAGCTAGAAGTGACACTGATTGCTGTAGCAACTTCTCACATTGTCTATTGGACTCCTGTTCATATTTTATGGGTAGTGATAAGTTCCTCTGAACTTACTTCTGGGTAGACATACTTAAGGCTTGTACTGACCACTTTGTAGACAGTTACTGTCCAATTCATCTGGGTGAGCAACATCTCTGTTCAAATGGATAGTTTGCCAAAATGTTGTATCTTTTTGTCATGTATTGGCTGGCACAAAAACAGAGATAATATGGAAACCTGGTGAAATGTTTTGTGCACCTCTAAACATTTCCAAATTTTATTTGCAAGCACGTATAACATTGCAAGCATTCTGGACAAGCAGACACACAATCTTTAAAAATGCAAGCTGCTGTTTATTTGTTGTGTTTATATCCTGACTTCCCTAGAGTGAATTATAGCAGCACGCACTGTCCTCCTCCCCAAGTTTATCCCTCCTGACAACAGACCTGCTGGGTCGGTTAGATTTATTTTCATAACAGACTTGGGAGATGGATTAAGCTGAGAGAGAGGAGGTAACATAACTCTCAGAATACTTCTGAAGGTCAGTAGGAGTAAATTTCTCTTTTGTTTGTTCAAGACAGATTTAAAAAACAAAAAGGAAAAGGAAAGCAAAAACAACCAGCTAACAGAACTGTCAGAGAGAATGTGCCTCTATTTCCCTCCTTGCTTACATGAGACACGTGTAACCGGATTGACTCCCATTCACCCAGGTTCTGTCGTGATCTGACCCACACTCACTTGGTTAGATGATTGACAACATAGTCTTCCCAGTGTACTGATTGTAAGGCGAGGCGTTGGGGAGGGGGAGACATCCTTTGATGATAAAGTTAACTTTATTCAGCTGTTGAACTTGTTATTGGCGCAGTTCTTTCCCCCACCCTTCTGAGCATTAAAAAAGCGATTTAGTACGCCATAGTTAAAATAAGTATGTACCCAGGGTAACCCTGATTTCCATATGCAGATTTCTCTCTCTCTCTCTCTCTGCTGACATCCCCGTTCTCTAGTCTCTCTCGCTCTCTCTCCTGCATTGTGTCTGTCTGATTTTAGACCATTTTTATTCTCTCTTTTTGTGTGTTTTCTACACGACGAACCTAAAATATTTTCCAAGCAAACATTGAAGTTGGTTCTCTCAGGAAGGATGGGGAAGGCGGCGGCAGCGGCGGCGGCGGAGGAAATACCCCATTAAAAATCCTAATTACGTCGATCTTGGATCTTTTTAAACACCCCCCCCCCAGCTTTGTAGTCAAAAGTTCTCCAGGACGAAAAATCTGGGCGAGCCAGTTTATAGCGGAGCGTCAACAGCCTGCCGTGGGACCAGCCCGGTTGGACTTTTGATAATCTTTGATATTACACAAATAAATAAATAAATGCATCACCGTCAGAGGAAACACACCGACACAAAAGCTGCAGCCCGGCAGAGGCATCTTCCCCGTGTCGGCAAGAAGGAGCAACATGCTGGGTGTACCTTCGAGTTGGATTTATTAGGAAAGCATCTTCTGTAGGAGACAGAGATCAGAGGTAAGGAAAGGCGGTCTGCTTCCCCATCACGACCACCTTTGGAAAAAAGGGCTTCTTTTCAGGCTTCAAAGCCAAGAGGGACCAAAGGTGCCCTCGATATGCTTCATGATGAATCCTGGAAGTTATTCTACTCTTTCTCTGTGTACGTTTTTGCCTGGTTTGCAAACCTTACATGGGCAGGGAGTCTTCTTTTCAAATGAAATGCATCTCTTGGTGTAGCAGGTTTGATTGGTGACATCATGCTTAGCACTAAAAAGCAGTGGTGCTTTTAGCTTATACTGATTTAACTTCCATGAAACGGCAAGATCTGTTAGAGATTTAATCGGGTCCACTTTGATTCTGATTCAAATAATAGCAATCTTTAAATATATGTGTATATATTTATAAGGAGGTATTTGTCTGTCTGCATGCTTTAAGAAACACACTTTTAGTGCAGAAGCTGTCAATGGTGGATAATTAAATACAGTATTTAGCCTGGCTGTTTTGAAGCCAAGGAATAAGGTAATAAATTTTATTGTAGTAATCAGACTCAAGATGTTCTCTGTGTTAATTGGGTTAAAAATTGCAGTACTTATTAGAAATTCTAATTTCACAATGCAGCACTGACAATAAGCTCAGCCAGTGAATTATTCACATCTTTAATTTGCTCACTTAATGACAGCGTGGTGTAATCAGTGTGCAGAGAAGGCTTCCTATGCATTATGTATGATGTTCTGGACTTAAATGCAGGACATTATGAAGCTCTCAGTGGTTCAGTAATTAGTTTTCCACAAGGCAGAACTTAGATATTCACAGATAAAAAGTTTTACAGTTGGAAAAATAAGAGTTGCATAATAGAAACTAACAAAAGGGACGAAATAGAAAAGAAGGCGGAAAACTAAGCATATTTTAGAGATAATTTGCATTTTTAAAAAACAATGTATGGAAAAGAAGGGAGAAAAAAACTGAATACTTTTGGAAAATGGATAGAAAGTTTTTTCTGATGCTTTTTTTTTGTTCTTGAAGAAGTTTGTAGCTAAAGGGCTTTTTTGGTATTTCTTTGGCCTTGTTTCTGTGCTTCATCAAGTGTAAGTGTATTTGTAAAAATACTAGTAACTGTTATTTCAACAAGTGTTGGTACCCATTTTTTGCAAAATATTTAGTGTACTTTGGTAAGGATTGTGAAGAGTTAAGTAGTAATAATTAAAAGGTACAGATACATGTGGAATTCAAAGCATCAGCATCTTGTATCCTTGGTGAATTGCACTGATATGAGGCCTGCCCAAGCCCTCCTTGGCTTTTTGAGCAGGAGTGAGTGGTTGGATATGTTGTTGTTGTTGTTGTTGTTGTTGTTGTGCTCTTTTAAGTCAAAATCAACTTACAGCAACCCTAACAGGGTTTGCAAGGTAAATGTGATACTTAAGGAGTGGTTTTTACCAGTTTTACGCCCCCAGTGAATTTCCATGGCTGAACAGGGATTCGAACCCTGGTCTCAAAAGACCTAGTCTGTTACCCTGTCCACTACACCACACTTGATAGATGGTTGGTATAGCTATCATTTTTCACACCACAAAATGCACTAGATGTAGCATTGTTCCAGGGCATTGTGGGAAAGGCTAAGTAATACTGGGCCCAGCTGTCTGACACTGCTCTAAATGCTGCTTGGACTGTCCTGGTGACTTCTAGGGTTTGCTGGATAGTGGCCTGAGCTTGCTCTATAACAATGAATGGTCTGAAAAGCAGAAGAGCAAAACTTAAAACTAATGCATTATCAGTCACACCTTTAGCTGGAATGTGTTACTTTTTTGGATATCAACGGCATAACAACATATACTTATTTTGTATTTTAATGTTTTTACTGTCTGTTTTCATATATTACTTAGTATGAGTTTACCTCTTATGTTAAAAATGTTATTTTAACAAGATGTCCCCATTTTAAAGGTTTTGCTTAAAATGATAAAAATGTGTTTTTTCAATTTTACGTAATTAAAAAATAATGCATTACCAGTAACATATTACTGGTGACTAACTGTGTAATCTGGATTCGCAGTGTGGTGCAGTGGATAGAGTGGAGAACAGAGTTCAAATCCCTGCTCAGCCATGGAAATTCACTGGGGGATTAGAGCTAGTAATAAAATTTTAATATCTTACATACTTTGAAACCCTTAGTAAGGTCGTTTCCAACTTGACAGCACAGAACAAACACACAACTATGTAAACTATGTTCCTAAACTCAGCTTGTTTTGTATATAAAATGCATGCAGGAAGATGCACTCCAGTAATGTAGTCCACGTTCATTCATAAAATATATACCATACTTTTCTTTTAGTGAGCTCAAGGTAGTATGGGAGCTTTCTTCCTCCTCACTCTATCCTCATATTTGTAGATCTGGCTGAGAAAGAGTGACGCACCCAAGGTCCACCACATACCATGACCCACGAGCCACCATATGACCTTAAACAAACCCAGTGTCACAGATTTTTAACGCTGAGCAGGGTCAGGCCTGGTTTTTGCTTAGATAGAAGGCTATCAGAGAACACCAGCAATCTTATGGATGGTTAGGAAAGATACTGATCTGAAACTTTGGAAACCCTGCTGCCAGTCAAAGTTGACATTGTTGGATTAGATGACCTAACAGCATGACTCAGTACAAGACAGTTGTGTCCTATGCTTTTATGTTTCAGCTGGAACCCGAACATGAATCTCTCAGGTCTCCCATCCAGTACTCTAACACCTATACATTACTGCTATTTCTATGAAGATGAAAAGTAGTGCATGTTTTACAAGGAATTACCTATAAATTAACAGGTTTGTGATCTGGCTGCTTTATAGGAATAGACCACAAACATTTTGTATCCTCACCAGGAGTCTGCCAAGTAGAATACATCACAAACTCTTCTGGAGGGAGAAAGATCTATATTTTGGAGCCTTATTTGATATCTTTCAGGCGAATGAAAACGTTTGACTATAGATCGAGTTTCCATATAGAAAAATCTCTATGATTCCAAATGGAGAAGAGATAATCACACTCTTCAAGAAAGGTGACCCATCAGATCCCTGTAATTATTGGCCTTCTTGATGTAGCCTCCAAACTTTATGCATGGTATCTTTTGAACAAGTTGTTTGAATGGGATAGTAACTGAACTATCATCCTTGGAGAATGAGCAGGTTTTAAAAAGGGTAAAGGGAAAATAGATCAGGGTTTCATCCTAAATCATTTAATTAGTAAGTTCACTAAGAGCCCAAAGAAGTTCACCTTTGTAGATTTTTCATCAGCTTTTGATCTGATAGATTAAGAGCCCTTATGGCCAAATTGACTTATACAGTACCTACCATGTTTCCCTGAAAATAAGACAGGGTCTTATATTATTTTTTGCTCCAAAAAACACACTAGGGCTTATTTTCAGGGGATGTTTTGATTTTTTTATGTACAACCATCTATATTTATTCAAATACAGTCATGTCATCATCTTCTGATTGCTGTACAATGCTGCACAATGGTGGAGGGCAGGGTTTCATTTAATTGGGGCTTATTGTGGGGTAGGGCTTATATTAGGAGCATCCTGAAAAATCATACTAGGGCTTATTTTCAGGTTAGGTCTTATTTTCAGGGAAACAGGGTACATCGTAATAATGCACGGAAGGTGAAAATTAGCTTACAAGGGACTTTATCACAACAAATTTATATCAACCAAGGGGCAAAACAAAGTTGCATTCTAGCATCTTTTCTATTTAGTCTTTGTATTAATGACCTGATCCCTGGAATGGTTTCCACGTCCTTTTTTCTTCTAGCTATTAGCAATCTCAAGATTTCAATTTTTCCTCATGCTGATGATTTGGTTTTGCTATCCTTGAATAAAATTAGCCTTAAAAGAATGTCAACCAAATTTGGGCAGCTGTGTAAAGACTAACATTCAACAATTGTCCAGAAACTAAAACTGTGGATTTTGGTCACTTGATGGCCATACCCTTCATTTAAATAGCTACATTTTGGTGAGAGATTTTCTAGGAAGCCATACCTAAATGCCACTACTTTGTTGAGTGCCAGAACTATTGGATAGCTTACAATTTTTTTATGCTAGAGGTGGTCAGATGATAAACCCGTCTATTAAGGTTTTTGTGACTAATGGTTGGGCTCAAATGCTTTGTGGAGCATAAATATGAGGAGAGAGAGTCAAGTCCAACCTGGGGATTCTGCAGAAGGAATTCATGAGGCAGAGATTTAGGAGCCCTTCAAAAATTCTTAGGGTTCAACTGAATCTTCCTGTAATAGCTGCCAGAACTGATTTGGCCTATTTTAGATAATGGCACAGATTAAATGGGTTTGGAGGACCATTCAGTTGCCAAGTTTTGCTGGTTGGAGAAGTTGTGAATTGGAGGATAGGTGAAGTGGTATCATGAAAAGTTAAAGTCCTAAAGTCTTCCTATGGAAAAGTTTGTCTGTCTCAGTCCTCATGGTCTTAGAAATTAGCTAGCCATGTCAGGGCAGGCACAATTGGGTCATAATTCTCTATTAGGTATCCTTAACTTCAAGTTAATAATGACAAGCCATGTTATTTTGAGGCACTGACCTTTCCGTAGCTCTGTAGAGCTTTTATAGAACTTAGATTCCATCAGATGCCCTCTGTATACAGTATCTTGAAGGTAGATACCTAGGAATTCCAGTTATAGAATTTAAATGTATTTTTGGATGTAATCAATTAAAGATATGATCCATTATTTATTGTTCTTTCCCCCTTTACATAGATCCTAGAGAATGTCCTTCATCACCTATCATCCAGTTGTATACCCACTTGCATCTCTGAGAAAGTAGTAATAGAATTGCTTGCTGATAAGCAGTTATCTATTACACATGTGGTAGCTCAATTCGCGTTTGCAGCCAAGAAGTCATGTTCTTGTTTTGTCAAGGATCACAACACTTTAATGTTGACAATGAAGAAATGTAAATAGTGAAGGATTTTGTATATTTTGATTGAACAATCAATCCGAATGGAGAATGAAGCCAAGAAATAAGAAGAAAA